CTCTCCCCAGAGGACGCACCCACTTTACCTTTTTCTTGAGAATATTAAGTGCAGGTTGGTGAGAACCAAAGCTTGGAAACCTCAGAGTATGCATTTGGGTACACCTGGAGTTTAACCGGTCTTACCTCCTTAAGGAGGGATTGAAAGATAGATAAGGAGGAGCGAGGTGGAGGCATTGAAGTAGGGAGTTCCGGAAGTTAGGGACACATTGACCAGAGGCATGGCCACTGATCTCCATGGTAAGGTGAGTCTGTATCCGCTGGGCAAAAGGAAGCGAAGAGGGGAATGTCAGCTTTATTTCTTTTGCGTCAATGTTCGGAATCAGGGAAATATCCATATTCTGGAAATACAGCTGGTTTCTCTTTTTTTTAAAAAGAAAAGTGATGTAATAGTGACATACTTATGGTTTTGTTCCAAATTTACAAGACATTGCCCTGTGAGAATTTAGTGGCCCAGCAGGAAATATCCAACATTCATTTTGATATTTTGCACAAGGAAAATACTGTCCGGTCTTCAGCTTGCCATCCAGTGGTTCCTTTTGACATGAAATATGATGAAGATAAGTGATTGCTTATATGTAGGAGAATGAAATCATTCACTGGTACAGCACGGCTCAATTACTGCATGCTATAACTGTGCACCACTTAAAATGTCTGGTCTCGGCAGATTGGCTCCTCTCCAGCTGATCGCTCATTTATCTAACAATTTTAACCAACCATCCCCCTCACTGCTTACTGCCAGATGCAAGTAGCCGTGAGCTGCTAGATTTATTTTCAGCTGAAGGTTGAGACACTGAGGTCAGTCCATTCAATGTAAAGCCTCCAGCAACTGATGACTCTCCTACTTCTCCTTCATAGTGAATAAGTATCTCCGTCTTATTTTGAGATCCCTAATCGAATCTGTTAACTTACCAACTGCAGTTTCGCCTTTTACACTGTTGAAAGTTGAATTCCTATCCACTGAGTTGCCAAATCAAATTCAATGGCTGCCCTAAAATTTAACCTGTGACCTTGGTTCAACGATAGAGCAATTACAGTTTTGTGGGGCAGAAATAGAAACAGGAAACATTGTTCAGTAGCAGACGTAATGAATCTTTAACGTTTGTATCAACACTAAATCATAGTACAGTGTAGACTGGTACAGAGGTTTAGCCTACTGAAATTGTGACTTGTGTATCTGAGTTCAAATCCAGCCCATTCTATCTTCTCTCTATCTATTGTCTTTAAAATCTAGTTTGAAATAGAATTAGCTAGTCTCTATTCACTTCTTCCTAGCATTTTATTTCCCTCGTCTCTCTCTCTCCCCCTCCCCCACATAATCTAAAAAACTGTCATGAATTTTCTATTGGCAATTGCATTTACTGTTCTGAAGATCGTTGACATTGATCCAGGGAAATTTGTTCACTGTAGGATTCCAACAACAGGGACCTTAAGATAAAACATTAGGAAATTAAAAAGGATTCAGGCAGATTCTTTTGACTCAAAGAGTTTATAGAAATAAATGATCCGATCATTAAAATGAATAATGTAAATAAATTATTGATTTATTGACATATTGATTGGGATCAATTGTCTTTTTCTGTTCCCATTGATTCTAATGTCTGAGAGTGAGCCCCCCCCTTTCTGGACAGTTTTGATATTGGAGTCAATATCTGAGGCTTCAACCCAAAGCCTGTCTCAAACTTGAAGTCTTGGTATCAGTAAAATATTAATCAAGAAACTCTTAATGGGATTAGATCGATCATCTGTTGGCAAAGATGGTGGGACCTCTGCACTGGTAATGGATCTCTGCCAACATGCTGGCTTCTCATATATCAAGATGAAACTCATACTGAAATGAAACAAAGTCACATTGAATTCAATACATTTTGTTTGATGTGATGGCGTGGTGGATTCTGGATCAAAGACTTGGCTTGGTCGATACCTGTTGTAATTGCTGTCCAAAATCAATGAAGACTTTAAGGAAGTGACCTTTTCCTCATTTCTTCAGTTGCAACAATGATTTTTCAATTGAACTTACAGTCACTCCTGGTCTAAGTCCTATCTGGTGACACGAAGAGATTGGTGGACACGCAGTAGTCCTGTTATTGCTGAACAAAGCAAGCAGGCAGTGGAGTGAGATATGACAATCTTACCTCATCTTACATCAGTGTTTGGATTCAGGGAAATTTTCAGATACTCAAATTACAAGTGGCTTCGCTTTGTTTTAAAAAGAGAAGTGATGCCACAATAACAAAACTGAAGTGTGTTCCTAATTCCGCATTCAACAAAACACACTATTGTACAGTAAATCCTGTTAAATGTTTGGAATGTCCGCCTGTCATGAAAGGTGTGATACTAAATAATACCAGATTATTATTAATAATTTAAAAAAGTCATCCTGTGAGTTCATTATTGTGTTCATGAATTGGGTGCATGGCTTTATATATAAGAAAAGTTTCTGAAAACGGGTTCTTTTGAAGTGCAGTGCAGAAAAACAACTTCCAAATTAAGGCTGAAATGAAGAATTTTGCACATTTCTGTGCAATCATAAATATTAATACAAAATGGTCTTACAGGTAAAGATTACGTGGAATTTCAAGCCTTTAATAGCTGATGTCCATTTTCAGTTTGGGAGCAAAAAAAACATGTGCAACCTTCTTGAGATGTGACTCCCCAGTTAATCCGGGGAGTGTAAATGCATAGAATTGAAAAGTGTGTTTATGTGTCAAGAATCATGATCTGCATTGAATTTACATAGAGGAATAATGATTCTCAAACATGAGCCTCATAAAAGATAGTGACGCTAGTCAAGTAATGAGTCATAATGCACGATACCTTCAAACTGCAGAGTACAAAGCAGAGTCCCCCAATCCACATTGCAATATGAATTAGCAGCCAGTTATTAAAACAATAGCATCTGGCGGACACTGAATGTCTTAGATTGCTCACAAGCCATACTAATCAGATACAGTGGCGACTACTTATAAGGCAGTGACTGGGATCCATAAAATCCCAACCTGGAGTACCGGGAATCTTTAAAGTTTGCCCGAACTGACAGATAGGTTTAACGTCTCATCTGAATATCGACAACTCAATTAATGCAGCACACCCCAGGCATTGCATTGGAGTGTTAACCTGAATGAAATGCGTCCAGAGTCCTGTCGTGGAGCTTGAACCCACAATCTGCTAATTCAGAAGTGAGTGTGCTACCAACTGAGCCAAGGTGACATTCAGAATTCATGCAGGCAAAATTCTACCAGATAGTTTCATTCATTGTATGTATTGCCCACTATTGTTGTCTGTTTTGCAGCTGTCTAAACCAATTTTCATGTTGTCCATAGCCCACTGATGATCTCCCTAGCTCTACAATTCATAAACTCCAACTCATGCAAAACAGCACAGTCCACATCCTCACTTATACCAAATTCCGTACCCCCAACTCCCCAAACATCACCAAACTTCATTGGAGCCTGTCTTCTCTTTCATGGTCTTCACCCTCACCTATAAATCCCTTCATGCTCTAGGACCTACTTAGCTCTCTGATCTTCTCCAACCCAACTCCTCCATTTGTTCCCCCCAGCTCAGCTAACTCAGGCTTGCTGTGATCCACTTGCTTCTCTGTGTCACATTGGTAGCTAAACCTTCAGTTCCTACCTCTGGAACTCCCTCTTTCTGTTGCTCCATTTTGCACACTCTCTGTCTGTCTATGTGTCAACCTAGCTTGTCCCTGTGTCCTGGCTAACAATTCCCCAAATAAAATTGGTCATTCATGGCTATTAGTGGGACATTGTGTGTGCAAATGGACTGCCAAGTCCCCCACAGATACACAGTCACTCCCCTTCACAGTGAAGCACTTTGAAACATCTTCCCAACTTGAAAGGCGCTCTACCAAATGCAAGGAATATTATTAAAGTTTATTATATTATTTAAAACCTACCTCTTCAAATGCGTTTACAGCAACTTCCCTACTTGCCCCCTCCCTCTCCCCTGTTCCTTGCTCGGCATCCGATGCTGTCCTTGTAAAATGCTCTGAGACATTTTCCTATGTGAAGGACACTTTAGAAAATGCAAGTTGTTGTTGGTGATAGTTGAATGTCCGGAAACAAAAGGCACATCTCTTTTATTTAATTTTTAATGTGATTTTGTAGATCACATGGATGTGGAGTTGGTTTCAGAAAACTTCCAGAGAGAACCACTTGCAGATATTTTTCCTGAATTTGCTTGTAGAATCATTTTGTCCAATAGAATTGCAGAATTTTTTTGAAAATTCAAACTTATTCTGGAAGACGTTTCTTATTAAGAACTGGGGCAAAACAACTACTGAATTAAGATTGAATTTAAGATTTTTCCACAAATCTGCACATGTTAACATTACAACAAATGTCAGAATGTTACAGTAGGGAAACAGATCATTTGGCCCAACTAGTCAGTGCCGGTATTTATACCCCACATGAGTTTCCAGTCTTCCTAATTTCTTCTCCTATATCCCTTTGTTCCCTTCTCCCTCTTGTGTACACAAGATAATGGTTCTTAGGCTAAGAGCAGGAGAAATGAAGGCCTCTGACGTGTAGCAGAATGCCTCTTCCCAATGACAGCAAGTTCTTCCTCTCATTGTTGTCACAAGGTGTTGAGTTGAGCTCAGACTATTCCCCACAGCACCACGTTGAGTTAAGAATTCTGCACAATTCTGTGGATCCTTAATTTTTAAGGCAAAACTGTTTTAGAGACCAGCTGGAATTTCGGGCCTTGGTTTGGTTCAATGAACTAACAATGACCGAAACTATAGATGATCAGTCAACTAAGCAGTCACCATGAATTATGTTACTCTATTTTTTAATATGTATTTTGCTGCATAAATGTTTATGAATGCTTGAAGTTAAATTTGTTGCATTGACTAAAGCCTTAAATTGTCTTCGGCACCAAGAATGAAAATTAATATTTTACAAATAACTCATTTTGAAAGCTCGCAGTTTTATACAAGTTCATTCAGATGCAAATCATGGGCCTATTGTGTTTCAGAGATCTGCTGGCACCAAATTATGCTGAGACACATTACAGTCAGACCGGAGAGCCACAGACAAGTTACCCTGACCACAAGGTGAGTCCCATTTAATAAACGATTTGAGTCTGTGACTCATAGGGTCTGTGGCAAGGAAATATGACATATCAGGCCTTGGACAAACATAAGAGTGAGCAGCAGATATTGGGCCATATTTTAACGATGTATCATATCTTGGTAGTATGTGAGTAAGCTGATCTTTGGCCCAATTGAACATACTGTCACCCTTCCCTGGTTCTTACAACTCAGTGATACCCTGGCGAATGGTTACATCTTCAAGATACAACAGGATAGATATTACTATATTTAATGGTCCCAGGGTGTAGTGCTGCATGCTCGTGAATGATAGGTTATGGGCTCACACTTGTACTTCTCCATATAGCAAGAGCATGTGTCTATTTCACTGAAAGAAGCTGTAATTAGCAAGTGGTTAACATGGAATTATGTCATACTGAGCCGTATAGAGTAGATTGTCAGTGCTCAAATCCCAGTCTGTGTTGAGTTAGTTATCTGATCTCAGCCAAGGCAGCAGTTGTGTTACAATTGGCCTCAGTGGCCCTCAGTTAGGGAAGAGGAACATGATCTATGGTTCCTGCTCCTGATCCATTCACTGTCACCTGCTGGAAGGTGTATAGACATGGGGGGATAGGGTAGTAATGGGCTGGATCAGGTGTCCGCTGGAAATGCAGTCCAAAAGCCTCCCATTGCTCGCTGTCACACATGACCAATAACCACTCGGATGAGGAATTGGAGGGAGCCTCGATCTTATTGAATTGTACCCTGTAGAAGGAAAAATGAGTCAGATGCTTTCAAGATAAGAAGAAGGGAGAAAATGATGGAAGAAAGATTGGGGGGGAAACGTGGTAGAGGTTAGGTGCAGACTACATTCAGGAATGGAGCCCATCTATTTAGAGGTCTGTTGCTATAATTAGAAATGAGATCAGGAAACATTTGTTGCTGCAGAGGGTTATGGAATGCAGTGGCACAGAATGCTACAGGGGCAGAAACAATTGGAATGTTTCAAAGGGAGATGGTTTGATAGAGGGAAACCTTGTTATAGCGTGGGTTGGCCATGTCTTCCTCACAAAATACAATACAATACAAAATTACATTTGTAAAGCATCTTTCACATTGGGAGCACATCACAAGGCGCTTGATGTCAGCTGTGCTTCCTATCTGTGGTGCGCATGTGCAGTGTGCGGAAGTGATGTCAGTGGAGATCTATGGACCGGGAAGATGGGATTTTTTAGCAAGGGAGCCCAGCTGGCAGGGTGTATTTCAAGTTAGCTCAGGTCCCACAAACAGTTGTGGAATAAGTGACCAAATGATTATTCTTTTTTTTAAGGAATTATTAGCCCTAGAAAGGCACTTCTGCCAATCTACTAACAACTGGGTTCCTATTTACCGCTAGGTAAATAGAGGTGTGTGGAGTAAGGAGCTTTTGTTTTGCCCTGTTGGGAATCAAACCTACGTCTTTCGCTTGGGAGGCAAGTGCCTAAACCACTAAGCTACAGGACTCCATGATGTAATACAATAGTGAACAGGCTCAATGGGCTGAATGACCTCCTGTCCCTATATGGCATCAACATTGTGGACAGGATATTAAAGAAGTCAAATGCTCTTCTGGAGTAAAATCCATAGTATCCAAGCGTATTAATCAATTTCTAGAAACAGGCAGTGGGGCCAAAACCACCTGTTTCTGCATTGATAAACAAATGTTTAATATCCACCACTTTCCCATGCCCTTACGTATTCCAATGAACTCAGCTGTGCGGAATATAGAATCGTCCCCCTCCCAAAAAATGCAGACCATATGCTGGCAGAGTGGGCAAAAGTGCGAATGAAAGAGAAAAATCAATTCACAGCATTATTTTTGGAATTCAGTAACAGATACCATAGGGTTTATCGCAAGACTCTGCCTGAAGGGACATTCTGTCTTGGGAAACAAGCTGCCTTTTCTGAGAGCAACAGCCGTGTCCGTTTCGGTGCAAGTTTACTTTGTGGAGATAGAGAAGCTTTTCTTTTTTGACGTTGGTAAATGTCTTTTTTAACACAAAACATCTGGAGCATCGTACTTGCCTCAAAATAAGGTCAAGGTTGTGTCAGATTAGAAAAGCCCACGGCTCCATGAATTCATAAACTGCACTTGCAAAGCACTCTGAAATGCAAATGCAGTGAGATATTTATGAATGATTTATTTGCAGGACAAATTAGAGAGAAACACGGCTGCCTTGTTAAATCTGTGTTGTAAATGAATCTACTTGTAATGCTTTCAAAGGATTTTGTGACTAAAAATGCCAGACCTCAAATCCTCCTCTCGTGCTACACCAAGTATCAGGGATGAAATACTTTGCTTCTCATGCCTGAGGAATGGACATAAAATAATTCCCCTCTGGTGCCTCGGAAGCCTAGCAAGTGATTGTATGGGTGTCACAACAGTGTCTGTCTCCACCCACAGGCCCTTTCCACAGAGAAGCAATCAGGAATCCTGGTTAATTTTTTTTCACGCCTCCAAAGCAAATGAATGCTGAGACCAATTGTGGTGCCCCAACTGATACCCTAGTTGAGATTAGCTGACATAACACAGATGAAGTCTGAAGCGTTTTTTGTTCTGTATGGCTCACTTGCACCAGATAGTGGCTTTATCAATCGAGCTATCTGAGGAGGTTCGAAGAACAATCTTAAAATGCTGTGAAGTGCTGGAATCAATGGGCAAGTGATGTGCTCCATGAAATGAACATATCGAGGTCAATTATGCAAACATATGTGTATGAAGGCAATTTATGTGCTCCCTTTATTACACAATTAAAAATCAATTAAAATGGACTACAGAGTCTTTAATACTTTTTTAGGGTTGTTATTTGCATTTCTGCAATTCCCTCCGTACACGTGCGCTTGCCTAACATAGACCACATCATGATGCAATCTGTGAAATTGGCATTCTCGAGTATTGGGCATTATGCAGTTATTATTCACTGTGGAATAAGTGGACAATGCACTGGTGTTATATGAGGCAGGGGAACTGGAACGTGTTGGTGGCTGGAGCTCTTGTGATGCTCCGGCTAAAAGGGGAAACTTGACAAGGGTATTCCCAATCTTCACATTTTTGTTATTCTTTCAGGCTCACTGTTTTTATCATGGCAACGTGAAAGGCATAGAGCACTCCAGTGTGGTACTGAGCACGTGCAAAGGACTCCGGTAAGGTTAATGCTATGCAGATACTGTGACCTTTAAAAAGCAATCATTTTAGTAAGTCTGCCTGATTTAATCTGCAGATTGATACATGGCACTGTAAGTTCTACTCCCATCAGAGGAGTGGGGCCAGTGTTGGACGAGCTAGAGCTTGTGGATAGTCGAGCTAAAGAAGCCAAAAAGGAATGCATTAGAGTGAGGAGGTAATGAAGACATGAATGAGGGTTTTGGGTATTCCCACCTCAAATCCTACCTTTATAAATGCACCTATGGCTACCTGAAGGAGAAACAGTGTGAGTGTGGAAGGCAGTTCTGGAGATCAGGGGTATTGTGCCTGAAAGCTTGGCTGCTCATAGTAATTGCTTTAAAGTATCCTAATTTATATTTTCCAAAACTTCTCTCTCATTTTAGGGGCTTGATCGTTATGAGCTCAAGTCTTAGCTATGTGATGGAACCGATTGAAGACAGCATCGACCAGCACCTAATCTTCAGGGCTGAGCATCTGAAGATGAGAGGAGGATCCTGTGGAAATCAGCACGGACAGAGTGAAGTGAACTGGATCACTGGCCTTACCAGTCACATACGTCCAGCACATCACCGGGTAAGAACTGCGTAACCATTGGCAGAAAGCATTGCAGTAAGTAGTCACTGGGATTCCAAAAACGCAGGGTTGCAAATTGGATTCACAAATAATTGGTAAATATGAAATCCTGCTACTCATTGGATGCAGGTCACGCTGACCCACAGGAACTCCATTCCAATATACATAGAAGAAGATTCCATCACAGCAGATTTCCTTTCAGTCAGATCAGCATGATGCATATCTGGATACTGTCAGGATTCAATATTTATGATCGCTTGCTGAATCCAGGTTTGTTTTGACCCCAGGGTGTTAATACGTGAGCTACACAACTGTCCATCTCACACAGACACTTTCTTCATGGATCATTACTCTCATTTGATTCTTGTTGACAATTATCGATAACCAGTTTCCAATAGACCTGCTCAATTTAAATTGTGTTGCGTCTTTGAAACAAAGATCTTGGGTAGCTTTGTCAATTCAGCACCGGTTGTGAGCTTAGAGATGTAGGGTTCATATCCAATAGGTGCACTCATCCCTTCATTCTGCCAAGGTCAATTGAGCACTTGAGCTCAAACTCTAAGCTGGCAATTGAGATCTAGGTTGTTGACAGTATCTCCCTTTGGCTAAGATGTAAACCAAACCCTGCCTGTCTGTTTTGCTGTATGTTGCCCAAACTCTCCAAGTGCCTTCAGTCATGATGCTCCTAACCTCTGAAATTCCTTGCCTCAACCCCTCCACCTCACCCCCTATTTATCTGTCTTCAAATCCCTCCCCTCTCTCCTTCACTCAGTGTTCAACCCTTCCATTGTGCAGCGCTCCCGAGATGCTATCCTGTGTGAAGGGCACTGTATAAGTGCAAGTTCTTGTTATTGTTTGAATTGGATGTTAAAGTTTTTGTGTCATTATTTACAAAGATTTACAAAGAACGTACAACACAGAAACAGGCCACGCAGCCCAACCAGTCCATGCCGGTGTTTATACTCCACATGAGTCTTCATCCATTTCTTATACTACCTTCTATTCCCCTTGCCCCTCACGTGAAGGTCTAGCTTCCTCTTGAATGCATCTATACTATCTGATTCGATCACCGCTTTAGACAGTGAATTCCACAATCTCAAAGGAAGTAGCTCCGCCTAAATTTGAAAGAAGAGCAAGGAGTTCTTCAGTGTCCTGGCCAATATTCCTCCCTTATCCAAATTCACAAATGAAACAGATGAATTGATCATTGCTGTGTGGTTAAGTGCTTCGGGACATTCACACAGTGTCAAAGGGATTATATAAATGCAAGGTTTTTTGCAAGGGAACTTTGCCGGTGCTGAATATTTGCTGTTTTTGCCTGAGTGAAGCACCTTGGGTTGTTTCCAGCGTCTTGGGACGTCCACCCGACGTGAAAGGCGCTATACAAATGTAATCTTGTTGTTGTTGTTTCAAAACCAAAAGGCATAATATCTAATGCACGTGTTATTTATCACTACATCAAAGGAAATAAAAAGACTTAAGGGTATTTTACTCTAGGCTTTGATAGAATTTGTTTATTTCATTCTTGGTACAACAGCAATACAATAATATTATTATTATAACAGCACTGTATTTTTAGAATAACATTATACATACTTATGCTTGGACTTCACACTGACTGTTTATAAATGTAATTTTCCTCTACTCTCTACAGGAAAAGAGAGACTTGATAAAGGACATGAAGTATGTGGAGTTGTATTTAGTGGCTGATTATGCAGAGGTATATCCCAGGTTTGGTTAAACTTATTTGCAACTTGACTGAACTTATTGTGGCTGTAACGGTATTGTAAGCCGATAATAAGGATTCCAATAGATGGGTCAGTAAGTATTTTATTTCATAGGCTGTGCCCGGCCTGGTCAGTTTAACAATGAACAGTGCATTTACTGATAGAGCCATCACGAGAGCTCTAAAACCACAGGGTGAAAAACTCCTCTTGCTGCTGTGTGTAGCCACTTGAACCATGTCATTTGTTATAAGAATCCGCGCATGTTACAATATTTAGAGTGGAGTTTCACTCTACAATAGTTAACAACTTGTAAGGTGTAAACTGTTGAATTTTAAATGGGAAATGTTCTGTAACACCTTGCGCACTGTCAACAGGGGCTGGCATGCTGAACTACACAGGGAACATTTCATATGGATTTGCAGGAGGATAATCATTTCAGAGCCAGACTGCTTTGATAGACTCCAGTACACATCCATGTGTTCATCCATGAGATCGCTTCACAGCCTTTTGACTAAGATCAAGTGTCATATGGAGTCCTGTAGCTCAGTGGTTAGAGCACTCGCCTTGCAAGCGAGACACCTGGGTTCAATTCCAGGCAGAGGGCAAAACCTTGGGCAAGTTTCCTTATTCCACACGCCTAATAATAATACTTCCAAAAAACAAAACAATAATAAAATTGCTCATTTTCAATCCACGACTGTTTGTGGGACACTGCTGTGTGCAATTGGCTGCCGCGTTTTGCCCACAAATATACAGTCAATTCACTTTACAGCATATTCTGTGAAGCGCTTTGAGACGTCTAGAAGACAAGAAAAGCGCTACATCAAATACAAGGATTATTATTATTATTAAATAGTATCTGTTCTTATCAGCTATTCCTTGGGCTCACACCTGCCAGAAAAGTTCTTCTGTTGAGATTCGCTTGTGAACATCAGTACAACAAATCTGACCCATAAATGAGAGGCTAATGGGAAGCATTAAGCTCCTGATCTTCAGCCCTCTATTGGTTAGGATCAGTCTTGCAGTACTTCTGATCTGAGGCGTTTGATCTGCCCTCAGAGGAGGAAGCGGAGATACTGGAACTTGGAGCTCACTTGAGCACTTTGTCACTAGGCTCAGGCCAGGCTTGCCCTGCTGGAGAGGCCATCCCAGTCACCTGAATTGCTCAAGTGGTCGTGAAGACAGATTTCAGGTCCTTATTATCCTTTGACAATTTGGGGCTGGGAAGAGTTTGGGGTTTGTCTGCAGGGATAATTCAAGTTCCCCAGTGGAAAGCGTTTCAGTCAGTTCAATTTGGTTAGTGAGGGTGAGCAGGGCCTAATCTTACTCACTAATAAAAAAAACTACAGATCCATATTTTATGTAAAGGAATTGCTGCAGGACAAAAGTTAATGACAGTCTATCTGGAGTAATTAGATGCGAGTAACATTTAAGGGGTTAATGGGGGTAAATGTGTGCACTCCGTTGTTCCTTGGGTTAATTAACACAATTATTGAATGCCACAAATGCTTCTCCAATGACTACATAAAGACTAGTAGACTAGAGAGAGACTGAAAGAATCCCTTCAACCCTTGGGGAGTTTCTCTTAAAGTGACTTGATGAGGCTTGAGATCATTATAACGTCTGGCCATGAAAGTTGATGTTAACAGATACTTTGATTGGACCTTGAGAGAACATTGACTGTTTCCCTGTAACTAATTCAAGCATCTTTTAGTTTCAGAAGCATAAATGGGACATTGAGAAAACTAAACTGAAGCTGAAGGAAACAGCAAATTATGTAGATAAGGTAAGACCGGATATATTTGTCTAGTGAGGCCACTACTGAGGGCAACACACCCATTTTTGTGGTTATCAATCGAGAATACGCCCTGTAGGTGGGTACACACCAAATACTGTGGGCTATGTGGTTAGTACTGTGGAAAACATTCACCAGTAATGTATAACATCAACATCTGTTTCAGAATATCTGATTCGTTATCTCTTTCAAAAAAGAACTTGAATTTTATGGTAACATATCACATTGAAAAGCATCGATTTTATGAGCTGTGGTATAACATTTTAAGTGTATCTGAAACAAAAGTACAAAAGGTCAGACCCTCAAGTGATTGAAAGTCTAACTTGTTGTTTCAGCAGAATTGAGCTGTCCTCAGCTGCTAATTTGCAGAAGCAAGAGTTATCCTAAATCTATTAAACTTAAGAGAAGTTATTAAAACTTGTCTCTGAATTTAGGACAATAATTGAAACAAATTCCTATCGGAGCACAGATGAACCGTGGGGATTTGCTAATTATAGGGAAAATGGGCAATAATGAGGTTGGGAAGCAGGGGCTCAATCAAGGTACCAGTGACCTCAATGAGAAGTGTAAAGTGGCACTTCAACTGGTAGGACATTACAATGAGAAACCCACAACACACAGTATTCAAATACTCAAAACAATGGGATGGGGTTGAAGAAAGCCTTTTGGCCCATTTGATCTTGATCTCATCCTTCCAGAATACCTATTGTCCTTCCACTAGAACTTCATGCTGGTTGTCAAATTAGTCCAGTTTCCTAGCCTTTACCACCTCTCATAATGACCTATTTTAGCTTTAATTATCCTATGTGTGAAGAAATACTTCCTATTGTCAGTGATACTACACCCCTAACCTCTAGAATTCTCTCCCTCCACCCTTCCATCTCATCCAGTATTACAGATCGCTGAACATCAGGATCGCCTTAGTTCATGTTGAAGTGTGGACCCACGAGGATATGTGTGATGTAAGAGAGAACCCATACAATACACTCTGGTCCTTTTTAAAGTGGAGACGGAAGGCTCTTGCCATGAAAAAGCATGACAATGCACAGTTGGTGACGTAAGTGCAGCAAGTTTTATTCTTATTCTTAACATTCTTAAATTCAATCTTAATATAGAAGTTGGATCTTTTGAAGGCCCGGGAAAAGTCAATTTCCAAATGAAGACTGAATAGTTTTCCATAATTCTGCACCAATATTACATTTGAAGCCAAAATGGTCTTACAGGCTAAAACTAAGAGCAAGTGTTACTGAACAGCTAACTGGTTCGTGTTCTCAGAGAGCACATGTGGTTTACAGCACAGTATTTACACATGGCTTACACAGTTTGCATAATAGACTCCTGAATTGTGCAGTTCCAAATATTTCCCATTTCACAGTAGAACACTGAAGTTAATGAAATGAAGGAATAAGGTGGCATTGCAATAGAATGTGAAACAGAAATATACTTCAGCAGGAGACACATGCTATCCAGCTCTGTGTGACATCAATGTGCCGTGTTTATACTGTACATACAAACAGAAGCAGAAAACAGAACTAGGACATTAGCTTTGCCTAAGACAGGATTCAAAACTGGGACATTTCCAGTTTGTTTGACTCAGTTATGGATAAACTTGCCAACTTTCTGATTTTGTGTTTAGAGGAATCACTTTCAATGGAACAACCATTGGATTGGCACCTCTGATGGGAATGTGCTCAGACTATCAGTCAGGAGGAGTGAATATGGTGAGTAATTTAACCTGTGGAGTGCTGTAGCTCAGTGGTTAGAGCACTCGCTTTGCAAGCGAGAGACCTGAGTTCAATTCCAGGCAGAGGGCGAAACCTTGGGCAAGTTTCCTTACTCCACACAGAGCCTAATAATAATCCCTCCAAAACCAAAAACAATAATAAATTGGTCATTTTCAATCCATGACTGTTTGTGGGACATTGCTGTGCGCAATTGGCTGCCGCGTTTCGCCCACAAATATACAGTCAATTCACTTTACAGTATATTCTGTGAAGCGCTTTGGGACGTCCTCCCGACGTGAAAAGCGCTATATCAAATGCAAGGATTATTATTATTATAATGTCTCACACTTTTGAATACAATCCTCTATTCGACTATTCATGCTGGGCTAATATACTACTTCTCTTGCTCTTTTTTGCTATCTCTACTCCCCAATTTCTCTCACGCACGTTCAAGAATTTTTCTAAATTCTCATAGGATTATTCTGATAGATTTTTCCTTTCTGTTGATATATTTCATGCCTGTAGTCCCAGTGCAGTCAGACCTCGTCTGGAATTTTTGTTTTCAGGCCATCTGTTTCGTAACATTCTTAATTGCTTTACTCACTGCGGTACATCTTTTTTGTTTGCCTCATTTCTTTCTCTTGTCTCACTTTTGCTATTTCCCCACACATTGTATTCTCCATTTTTAGTTTTTTTTGTCTTCCTCAATTCCCTCTCGACTGGCAGCTCGACCTAGTGCATTTGCTACATATAGTGTCTCTGCTGGTTTCTACTTAAATTAGTGGTGTTTCATCGAGTCCTTTTAAAAAATAAAACAGCCTCTAGTGCTTTGTGATCAATTTCTACAACTATTTTCTTACCAAACACATACTGTTTAAACCTTTCACACCCTAAACAGTCCCGCTAAGCACTCTTTTTCCATTTAGGCATATTTCCTTTTTGTTTCAAATAGTGGCCTTGATGCATAAGCTACAGTATTTGCTGCTCCTATCCCTGCTTTAGCTGCACCTACAGATATCTTAATATAATAATAATCCTTACATTTAATGTAGTGCCTTATCACGTCTTCGAGACATCTCAAAGTGCTTCGCAGAATTTACTGCAAAGTGAATTGACTGTATATTTTGTGGGCGAAACTGGTGTTTGTACATCATAAAACCTCAATACAGGGGATTTCAAAATAACTTCTTTTATTCTATTATATGCCTGCTGATGTTCTTTTCCATGTGAATTCTCCATCTGCTTTTATAGCTTTTGTCACCTTCAGTATGAATTGAGCCATCCCGTTCACCATCCCCGGCCATTAATATTTTTACTCTCATCTGCGAGTCCTGGCTTCAACATTCTGTGGATTTATTTTTAACCTTTCATGAATAATTATCCGCCCTAAATACTTTACCTCTTACTCCTATCCTCTGCTTTTTCTGTTCAGTTTTACATTTTCTTCGAAACATTTCTATAGTACACGTTCATCATGATCTTCTCTTGTCCTTAGCATTAGCATTGTCCTTTCTCTCTCGCAATTCCCTCTTTGAACCTCTCCAATACAGCTTCCGGTTTGCCCACAGCACGGAAACAGCACTGGTCAAAGTCACTAATGACATTCTGAACATCTGTGCTCAGGGCTCCCTCTGCCTCCTTGTCCTCCTCGACCTCTCTGCCGCCTTCGACACTGTCGACCACTCCATCCTCATACACGGCCTCTCCGCTTTGTTCAATCTTCACGGATCTGCCCTTGCCTGGTTCGATTCCTATCACTCTCACCGTTTCCACTTTGTTGCCTCTAACGGTTTCTCCTCCAGCCCCTGGCATCCCCCAGGGCTCTGTCCTTGGCCCTCTCCTTTTTAATATCTACATGCTCCCCCTTGGTGACATCATCCGCAGACATGGGGTCAACTTCCACATGTATGCGGATGACACCCAATTATATCTTTCTACCTCCACCCTCAACTCCAGGACCACTGCTGTCCTGACAGACTGGCTGTCGGACATCAACAACAACAACAACAAGATTCCATTTATAAAGCGCCTTTCACGTCAGGAGGACGTCCCAAGGCGCTACACAGTTGGGTCATGACCCGAGCAGGGGGGAAATGGTCCGGGTGAGGGGAGGGAAGGGAGGGAGCGAGGAGGGGGGAAATGGTCAGGGTGAGGGGAGGGGGGAAATGGTCAGGGTGAGGGGAGGGAAGGGAGCGAGCGAGGAGGGGGAAGAGAGTCGAGAGGGGAGCTGAAGGCTCGGTCAAAGAGAAAGGTTTTGAGACCGGCCTTGAAGGAGGAAAGGGAGGAAGCAAGGCGAAGGCACTGGGGGATTGAGTTCCAGAGCCTGGGGGCTGAGAGGCTGAAGGCCCGACCACCGATGGTAGGGCGGTTGGGGCGGGTGACGTGGAGCAGACCGGAGCCAGAGGAACGGAGGGTACGGGCAGGTAGGTAGGGGGATAGTAGGTTGGAGAGGTAGGAGGGAGCAAGGCCGTGAATGGCCTTGTAGGTGAGGATGAGGATCTTGAAATCAATCCTCTGGGGGAATCAAGTCCTGGATGAGGACAAATTTCCTACTGTTGAATGTGAACAAGACTGAGACCCTACTGATTGCCTCGCGCCAGCGCCTCAGCACCTCAGGCTCTGGCAGCATCAACCTCCATGGCTGCACACTGCAACTCGCCAGCCAGTCGGGAACTTAGGTGTCTTGTTTGACCCTCAACTGTCTTTTCGCCCCCACATTCAAGCCATGACCCACTCTGCCTTCCCTCACCTCCATAACATCGCCCGACTCCCCCACTACCTCACCCCTCAGGCCACTGAAACTCTTGTTCATGCCTTCATCACCTCCAGGGTCAACTTTGCAAACGCTCTGCTTGTCGGCCTTCCCAACTCCTCCCTCCACAGACTGCAGATAATCCAGAACTCTGCAGCCCGTGTCCTCTCCCGCACCAAACTCCGTGACCCCATCTCCCACACTCTCGCCCGACGCCTTTGGCTCCCTATCTTTCAGAGGATCCAGTTCAAGATCCTGGTCCTCACCTACAGAGCCCTCCATGGCCTCGCCCCACCCTACCTCTGCAACCTCCTAACCCCCTACCAAGCCGCCCGCTCCCTCCGCTCAGCCGGCTCTGGCCTGCTCCACATCTCCCGACTCATTCGCCCCACCATTGGCGGGAGAGCCTTCAGCCACTCTGCCCCCAACCTCTGGAATTCCATCCCCCAATCACTCCGCCTCGCTCCCTCCTTAGCCTCCTTCAAGTCCTGCCTCAAGACCCTCCTCTTCGACCATGCCATCAGCCACCCCCCTTCCCCTCCCCTCCCTTTCCCCCCCTGACCCCTGCTCGAGTCTGAAATGCTGTACACTGTCCAGCACTTTGGGACGTCCTCCCGGCGTGAAAGGTGCTTTACAAATGTAATCTTGTTGTTATTGTTGTAGTATGTCAATTTAATTTATGAATTTGGTATTCCTTCCGATATTTCTGCCAATTTCTTTTGAATACTTTCTAGGCCGACTTTATGCCAAATTGCGTTCTCTGGGAGGAACGATATCTTCCATGCAGTTTTAAAAATGTTGTCAAGTAAATGCTATTCTCTGCTAATTTATATTCTGGTGAGCAATCTAATATAGAAAATAATTTTGCTCCATGGAATAAGGCATGGATATCTTACAGAGTAGTTATTACATTGTGTTCTTTTTTTATGGCTTTCAGTTATTGTGTTGTTTTCTATTATCACTAAAGCACTCACCAAGTCAGTGGGGTTTTCTACCATATTTATGATCTGATCCATTTCTATTTTCATTAAAGTTTTAATCTTTTATTGTTTCCAGTATTCTAAAGGGATGTATTACAGGTTTTACTGTTTCTTTGAGCTTCATTTCATATTTTTTCATTAATTCTCGTTTCCCAAAAAACTATTTGTACTTTTCCACTATTTCTGCAGTTTATAATCTTTTGCTTATTTTTTCATTCACACAGCTAATTGTTTCAATCCATCCCATTTTAATTATGTTGATGAAGTCTAGAGTATCTGCTTTTACTTTCACTTTGTGAAGTTTTATATTGTATAACTCGCTTTTGTACTTTGTTTGAATCCCCATTCTGCCTACCATCTTAATTTCTCCTTTGTTACAGGCCATTAATTTTCCTTTTCCATCTTATCTTTACCTGGTTCTCCCAACTTTATATATTGTTTCAGGGACACCACACTTCCATGTGGTCTTGTATTTAATTTGCGGTATATTTATTTTCTCTCTTTTGTACATTATAATAATAATAATAATCCTTGCATTTGATATAGCGCTTTTCACGTCGGGAGGACGTCCCAAAGCGCTTTACAGAACACACTGTAAAGTGAATTGACTGTATATTTGTGGGCGAACGCGGCAGCCAATCGCGCACAGCAATGTCCCACAACCAGTCGTAGATTGAAAATGACCAATTTATTATTGTTTTTTTTTGAGGGATCATTATTAGGCTCTGTGTGGAGTAAGGAAACTTGCCCAAGGTTTCGCCCTGCCTGGTATCATTATAGAGATACCACCCATTCTTTTTCTTCCCTTTTGTATTCACTCTTCATGTTCCATCATATTCCTTTTCACTCGCACTGACTTCCATATCTGAGCTGTCCATGAGTTAATTGAGCCTTGATCACACTTGCTCTATCCTGATTCTCAGAGGTTTGCTTGATCTTTGGTATTCCTTTCTTCCTGGCATCCTTCTCTCCTGTGATCTCTCTTGTGTTCTCCTACCATGGTTCCGCTCGGGTTCTTTTTCTGTATTTCCTTGCTTAATTCCCATATTTATTGCAAACATAGCATTTCCTCCCTTCCACTGGACAGCTCCTTAAATGAAATTCTAATCCGCATTTCTTATGTGTCTTTTCGATTTAAATAAACAGTAATAAACCTTGCATTTGATATAGCGTCTTATCACATATTTGTGATGTCTCAAACCGCTTCACAGAATATACTGTAAAGTGAATTGACTGTATATTTTGTGGGCGAAACGTAGCAGCCAATTGCGCAGAGCAGTGTCCCACAAACAGTCATGAAATGAGTGACCAATTTATTATTTATTTTGAAGGAATTATTAACACTCCTTCGAGGCCTGTACACTGCTGCACTCCAAATCATTCCAATTCCTTCTTTGAACCAAGTCATCTATTTCCATATCTCATTCTTTCTCAATTTCCTCCACATTTATTTGTATTGCTGTACTCAATGTCAACGCTTCTTGTTTTAAGAGTTTACTAAGTATTTTGTTATCACTAATTCCAATCACTATCTGATCCCCTTATCATTTCTTCATGCAGTGTTCCATTGTTGCACAAGTTGCTTAATGATCTTAATACCACAAAATATTGTGTAACAGTTCCATAAGGCCCTTGGTTTCTTGTGCCGAATTTGTACTGGTCTTTGGTCACCTTGATTTGTCCATAACACCGCACCCATGTAATATTTGTTATATCATCTAATGGCATTTTAACATCTCTTTCTAAAGTTTCAAAGTACTCCGTAATTCCTTCTGCTACATTCGGGAATATAGCAGTACTGTTGGCTTTGTTAGAGGCTATTGCAAGGATTCAGAAATCCCACTCCAACTAGTGACAATTACGTCTTAATTTTCTCATTCATATCTGGGGTCACAGTATTTGCACGTACATGAAATCTATCTCTCTTGCTCTTGAGTGCATTTTGCTTCTTTTAATGTCCGTTTCCAATCTCCTAGTCTATTTGCAGTCCAAGTTCAGTTCGTTTCTGACACCCTGCAATAAAACATCAACAACTTCCATTTATATACCGACCTCCACCCTGGATGGCGTCTTGGAGCACTTAATAATATACAATGCAAAGCACTGGTGCGTTAGGAAGCTTCTCTATTGGCAACTCACAACAATTCAATCCTCCAACTATAACAGAGCACACATTCTGGCTCCCTTCCCAGTGTCCTTTTTATCCTGCCTGTTTTCAGTTCATTGGTTGTTTCTCAAATTGATCATCACTCTCAAAGGAATATAATAATAATAATAATAATAATAATCCTTGCATTTGATATAGCGCTTTTCACGTCGGGAGGACGTCCCAAAGCGCTTCACAGAACACACTGTAAAGTGAATTGACTGTATATTTGTGGGCGAACGCGGCAGCCAATCGCGCACAGCAATGTCCCACAACCAGTCGTAGATTGAAAATGACCAATTTATTTTTGGTTTTTTTTGGAGGGATTATTATTAGGCTCTGTGTGGAGTAAGGAAACTTGCCCAAGGTTTCGCCCTCTGCCTGGAATTGAACTCAGGTCTCTCACTTGCAAAGCGAGTGCTCTAACCACTGAGCTACAGGACTCCGACAATCACAACTATATGATAAATATCCCATGTTGAATAAATACATTTCCACCGCTCGTTTATCACGAAGCCTCAGTAATTGTCTTTCCTCTTATAGGACCACTCTGACAGTGCCATCGGGGTGGCTGCCACCATGGCTCACGAGATGGGGCACAATTTTGGGATGAGCCACGACTCCAAAGGCTGCTGTAAGGCTTCCCCAGAGGATGGAGGATGTATAATGGCTGCAGCCACTGGGTGAGCTGCCAGCTTCAGAAATTTCACACTCACACGATTCATACCAGTGTGTTACACGCTTTCACTCTTTCTCCCATAGACACACACTTGTTCACACACAACACACACTATCACTCATATCCACACATCATTTCACAGATACGCACACACACACAATTTAATTTGAATAATATCAGTGCACATTTCACCAATTATGTACAGCTTGGCATAGTCATGTCTCGTGATGTACATAGAGAGCTTTGTCTTGAACAACAACAACAACAACAACAAGATTCCATTTATAAAGCGCCTTTCACGTCAGGAGGACGTCCCAAGGCGCTGCACAGTTGGGTCATGACCCGAGCAGGGGGGAAATGGTCAGGGTGAGGGGGAGGGAAGGGAGGGAGCGAGGAGGGGGAAGAGAGTCGAGAGGGGAGCTGAAGGCACGGTCAAAGAGAAAGGTTTTGAGACCGGCCTTGAAGGAGGAGGGAGGAGGCGGCGAAGGCACTGGGGGATGGAGTTCCAGAGCCTGGGGGCTGAGAGGCTGAAGGCCCGACCACCGATGGTAGGGCGATTGGGGCGAGGGACGTGGAGTAGACCGGAGCCAGAGGAACGGAGGGTACGGGCAGGTAGGTAGGGTGAAAGGGGTGAAGGACAGCATTGATCCCAAATCCATTATCCATTAAGAAAACAAAAGACACAGAAACAGTTGTGAGTGAACTGTGAAACAATGCTCCAAAGTTCATCAACCCTAGAATTACCAACATCAAGTCCTGCAAATTAAGATTCTAAAGCCTTTTTAACTCTCCTGCGTAGAAAAGCCATGTAGAGAATACAGCTTTGGCCCCCCATCTGTCTTGATGGCTCCAAATGGAACCTGGGACCCAATGATCATAATTTCTATTTTTTAAGAAGTGTTTTATTGAATGTAATCTTATTGCTCCAAAATGAATCAACATTTTATTTCCTGGGGTGTTTGATTAGTTACCCAGTATTTCATTTTTGAATTAGCAGAATACAGTACAAAATTATAATGTAAAATTAAATTTATATAGCGCCTTTCACATCGGGAGGATGTCCCAAGGCGCTGGACAGTGGAATTTGGACCTGAACAGGGATGGGTGGGGGGTTTGGGGTAAGGGAGGGTGGAGGGCAGGGAGTGTAGGAGGGAGACTGAAGGCATGGTCAAAGAGGAGGGTCTTGTGACGTGCCTTGAAGGAGGTAAGGGAGGGAGCGAGGCGAAGGGACTGTGGGATGGTGTTCCAAAGGGTAGGGGCGGGTGAAGACTGCTTGTAATTAGATCGAGTCATGTGCCTTTCATCTTTAAACTTCAGACAGGTCCCTGTCTCTGTTGCCATGGAGGTACATTTACACCACAAGTATCATTTCGGAAAACGTGTGGGATGAAATTTTCCAATGACGTTAAGATGTCCACGTAATCAAAAGTCAATTTTCATAACCAGTCCAAGGCAAATATCAACTCTATTTTCTTCTCATTTTAAATGTCAACAGTTTACTGCCAAAACCCTTCAGTGAAATACCTGTGGCTGAAATTCCTCCTAGTCTTACCCTGTAAAATCATTTTGTCTTAAGATTATGGAAAACTCTTACTTCAACAACAACAACAACAACAAGATTACATTTGTATAGCGCCTTTCACATCAGGAGAATGTCCCAAGGAGTACAGCATTTCAGACCCGAGTTCAGTCATTATTGGGAGCTTGGTTTCCGCAGTTCTTAATAAGAAGTTTCTTCCAAATTAAAATTCCATCTCTCCCGTGCTTTGGCTCAAGTGCCCTTTCTCTTTGAGCAAAGGTTAAAAAATATTAGCAAGGCATTGATCGGGACATCAGAGCCAGACCAATCCGGTTGACACACATGCATGTGTCTCTTTGCTGCTCCATTCTAAACTGCTTATTGAATTTTGACAATGAATATTTTACTCCACAGCCATCCATTTCCTAAAGTATTTAACAAGTGCAATGAGAAAGAGCTTCAGAAATACTTACACAATGGAGGAGGGATGTGTCTCTTCAATATGCCTGACACAAAAACATTGTACGGAGGACAGAGGTGTGGAAATGGCTATGTAGAGGAAGGAGAGGAGTGCGACTGTGGGGAAGTGGAGGTACATTGTCTCCTTGAGTCTATGATGGAATGAATGCACTATGAGTGTTGGGACTTATGATAATTATCACGTAGTAGGACAGGGTGACAATGGCTAAATTGATGACTGATGAAAAATCATCATCCCCTTTGACTTTGTGCAAATAATGCCACGTGTGTGATCTATTGAGCTGACCTTTGAAATTATTGCAATACAGATCCCAGCATTTGAATACCACTGGGGAACACTTCAAAAGGTGATGTACTGGCTGGTGTCACTAGTCCTCTTGTAAATATAACATTTAGATTTCACTCCCCCTTCTCCCATCCCACAATTCATGATTTACCCCCAGACTACTGTATTCTGCCCTCATTGAAATTAATCTTAGCTTCTGTATTTGCCTACATTATTGCCTGCACAACAGCCCCTTTCATTTGTAATCAATTAGATTTTGTAAAGCACTTTGAGATATTTATTTTACATAAAAGCCGCTTATCAATGCAGATAAATATTATAACATTCTGTAATTTCTGATTGATTAATTTGGGGTTCGGGGAGGTTCTACGCAGAAATTGCCTTCAGGGGATAGAGTGACTGGGTGAAGTATATAACAAGGTAGGTTTTGTCTGGACTGTGGGCTGAGTGGGTCAAGGGGCTAAATTAATCCCACCTCTCAGACTGCTGTTAGTTCCAGAGAAATGGCAGGCTCCACAAGCTAGTCTTTTTTTTAAGCTTGCATTTAGGTTACCTGGGAAGCAAAGATATTAGGCCAGGTGGGAAAATGGAATTAGAAAATAAGCCATGAACTGACAAGCAGGCATGGCAAGCTGAGTGGCCTCCTACTGCTTATAGTGGTTTAAAAGGTTTATTCCTCCTTTTTTCCAGGAATGCGTTAACCCTTGCTGTAACCCCAACAACTGCAAGCTAAAGGCGAAAGCGGAATGTGCTCACGGTGTCTGTTGTGACAAGTGCAAGGTCAGAACCTTTCATCATTTAAAATACTTTCTAAAGAGCATTCATATAACTCCAGAAATAATACTGTTTAAAACACACCTGCTGGAGGGAGCCCATGAAAGGATAGAGAGAATTGACACACTGACTCGCATGGCTTTCAAGCCAGCCCAATCTGATGGGGAAAAGACCTCCCTTTGTTGGTTGTTGGAGGTACAATCTGTGTAAAGAAATATTGGTATCTGTCCTAAATTTACTGGATAAACCCCGAATCTGTGCTCTCTTGTCCTGGTACTTTGGTGTATCTGAAAGTATTGTTCTGGGTTTACTTTCTCTATCCCATATAGCACCTTCTATAATTACTCATCTGTGAAATGTCTTTTCAAGGCTTAGTAGTTTATCTAGCAAAGAGCAGAAGGGAGGGAGAAAGAAAACACTTATATATGTTTGAATTTTCTCTTGAACAGTTAAGGATGCCTGGTACAGAGTGTAGGAAGTCGGCAGGACCATGTGATCTCCCAGAGTATTGCAGTGGTAACTCAGAGTTTTGTCCAGCTAATTTTTACCAAATGGACGGTGCCAGCTGTGAGAGAGGAGAGGCCTACTGTTACAACGGGATGTGCTTGACGTACAAAAATCAGTGTATGCTCCTCTGGGGATCTGGTAAGGACAAACAGAAATCCCTGTTAAGCTGTGTTAGATCATGCGTTCTTCGTCTGCCCAAAAATCTTTGAGCGCGCTTTTGGTCATCTTTCCCCCACTCTCTTCAGCTCCCTCCGCGCTGCGTTTTAGGATTTCAGATGAATAGGGTGAAAGCGTTGTAAGAAATACCTCCCCCAATGGATTGTGTGCATCTGTGTCCCTTTAACCGTGTCAAAGACGTGTCGTTTTCCGCTCTGTCTCAGGGGCCCGTACCGCTCCTCAAATCTGCTTTGAAAGGGTGAACGCTGCTGGGGACTCGTACGGTAACTGCGGCAAAGATAACCAGGGCAATTACCGCAAGTGTGAAACCAGGTAAGACTCTCCCTTTGAACAATGCACAATAATCCACCCGGATACAATCGGTTATTCGCTTCACATTTGTGGGACATGCACAAATTGACTATCGTAGTCGCCTACAAAATACACGGTCACTACACTTCATGATATATCCCGTGAAGAGCTTTGAGACCACCTTCTGACGTGCATGGTGGTTTTGGCAAATGCCAGGATTATTATTATTTTTTTTACACTTTCTTAAAGGAATGCTAAGTGTGGGAAAATACAGTGCCAGAGTTGGGCCCAAAAGCCTCTGGATGCCAATGCAGTCGCAATAGATACTACAATAACGCTGGATACAAAGAAGGTGCAATGCCGTGGTACCCACGTATACAAGACCCCTGAGCTAGAGGGCGATATGTTGGACCCAGGGCTGGTGATGACTGGAACAAAGTGTGGCAACAAGGATGTAGGTTGTGGCTTAAATAATTCTTTGTTGTGGGGGGGGGGGCAAAAATGCAACGTTCAACATCATAATTATTGCCAGTGAAAACAATTGCTTAAAAGTGCGATCCAAAGTTGATTTTAACTAACTACAGGTTTAGGAGTGAAAATCCCCTCCTCCAATACAATGGTTTGGTTCAAGGTCATTTTTAGGACATTTTTCACCACCATTTGGGTTTGCACTGAGCCATAGTGGTCCTGATTGGTGCTTTTTCTCGGCCCAGAGCCAGCGTTCAGCTCTCCTTCATGGGAGCTATGCCGGGAACTTATTTTTAGCTGTACTAAATTGCCACTAATAGGGAACAACAAATGGAGCGTGTAGATCTTCGGGGCCAACAGTTGAGCTAGAGGTTGGGGGTTCACTGTGAAACCTGTTTATAGTTAATGACAAGTTTGCATTGTAATTTTCAGTGATGTAAGAATTAATTGTGTTGAATGTTGCATTTTTCACCCTCATATTCCACTTGTATACAACCAGGGTGCGGGAGGGGGAGTGAGGAAATTGCTGGCTTTCTCAGGCAGGGGAAATCATGGGGTAAGTTTTCCTTACTCCACACGCCTCTGTTTACCTAGCAGTAAATACGAACCCGGTTGTTAGTCGATTGGCGGATCGCTATCCCAGCGGTAATAATTCCTTCAAAAAAATTAATAGTTTGGTCACTCAATCATCACTGTTTGTGGGCTACTGCTGTGCAGAATAGGCTGCTGCGTTTCGTTCATACAAAAAAAAGTGAGATCTCTTGTTTGTTTTTACCAGATCTGTTTCGAAGGACAGTGCCAGAATGCTTCTTTCCTGGCTGCAGATGAATGTGTTGCAAAGTGCCACAACCATGGGGTAGGTGCAGTCAACAAAGACCTTCCATAACTTCCATCTTCTATGGATACTTTGCTCGCGAGGAGTGTACGGGACAGATTATGGCTTTATATAGTCCTGTAGCTCAGTAGTTAGAGCGCTCACCTTGCAAGTGAGACACCTGGGTTCAATTCCAGGCAGAGGGCGAAACCTTGGGCAAGTTTCCTTACTCCACACACCTAATAATAATCCCTCCAAAACAAAACAATAATAAATTGGTCATTTTCAATTCACGATTGTTTGTGGGACACTGCTCTGCGCAATTGGCTGCCTTGTTTCTCCCACAAATATACAGTCAATTCACTTTACAGCATATTCTGTGAAGTGCTTTGAGACGTCTAGAAGAAGTGAAAAAGCACTATATCAAATGCAAGGATTATTATTATTATGTAATCACAAAATGTCACAAAGCCCGGGGAAACCAACCTAAATTGTATTCATTGATTTCTGTAAGGCTTTGGACCTAGTGCCTCAATGAAGAAGTTGGAATCTTTGTGGCTAAAAGTTGGATTTTATCAGCGATGTGTCCTCGAGTTCCAAGATCTATGTAAAGGTTGATGGGAGATTCATGGATCTTAAGCCTCTCAAAAGGCTATCCACTATTACCCATTGCATTCTATAAATACATCAATGATGAATTGGATGTTTAAGAGGGATCGACTTGGTGTGTCTATTCCAGGCGTTTACAATAGAATTGCAGTGCTTCTGTTTGCAGTTGATATTGTGCTGTTAATAATAAAAAATATAATCCTTGCATTTGATATAGCACTTTTCACGTTGGGAGGACGTCCCAAAGCGCTTCACAGAACACACTGTAAAGTGAATTGACTATATATTTGTTAGACTCATCTGGGGATCTTGTGCACTGCGCACTCACCATCTTGATCAATAGGCCACACAGTGGGATGCGAGGAGGATGGTGGCAAAGGTCTCATCTGCCCATTTACATTGATTTTAAAGATCCTATGAAACTATTTGAAAAGGGAATTGCTCCATCTGTCTGTATGCTGGCCAATAATCTGAGCAGAAGAGTTGACTGATTTATTCTCTCCCCTCACTTGCCCAGGAGCATTGAGGCCAATGGATATCAACTACCTTAATGGAGAACTCAGACTTTCTAACTGTTGTTACTGGACATAAGTTATTTCGAAAGAGGAAGCAGATGATGTTCACTGTTACTCTCAGGTTTATTTCCACCTTTTATTTCTTGCTTTAGATTTGTAATAACAACCACAATTGTCACTGTGAATCTGGCTGGGCTCCTCCTTTCTGCAATAAACCAGGACACGGCGGCAGCATAGACAGTGGAACGCCATTGCCTGACAGTGAGTGGACATTGCTCTCCTCACAGAATCCTAAATTAATACCTCTCTACCTTTGTTGTCTTGCCAGGTATCTGCTTGTTTCAGTTCGCAGCACTTTCATCTTTGCGTCCAAGATCATGGCTTCACTCGTTTTCAAATCCCTTCATGTCCTCGCACCTCCCTACCTCTCCGATTTGCTTATCCGCCACTCCACCCCCCGCTGCCTCCGCTCGGCTGGCTCCGGCCTCCTGTTCGTCCCTCGTCCCCTCCGCTCCACCATCGGTGGCCGTGCTATCAACCACTTCGCCCCGAAGCTCTTGAACTCTCTCCCCTATTCCCTCTGCCTTGCCCCTACCTCCCCACTTTCAAATCCCACCTAAAGAGCTTCCTTTTTGATCGTGTTATGGTCACCTCCTCCCTCCCTCCCACTGGTTCCTGGTCAGCCTCCGCCACCGTCAAGTGCTGCAGGACACTACCCTGTGTGAAGGACGCTATATAAATGCAAACTGTTGTTGTTCAAGTTGCACTGTGGAACTTAAACTCATAATCTAGGGTTCCAGTGCAGGTGGAACACAGCTTTGTTAGGTGTGCTGTCTTTTGGGTGAGGTGAGATGCAAACTGTCCTAAAATGGTGAAATAAAGCTTTATTTTGTCAGCCTTGTTCTGGAATAACTCACTGCCTCACTCCCTCCTCCTTGACACATTTGCCCACCTTCAGATCGTACCTGAAGACCTTCCGCTTTGGCTGTGCTTACAGTCACCTTTACTTCCTCCCCTGCTCAGCGTCAAGCTCCGTCATTAAGGGCCCTGAGATGCTGTGTGAAGGATGCTATAAAAATAGGTGTAAGACATAAGAAATGCTAGGCGAGAAACTGACCAAGATCCATCTAGTTAGCCTTCCACCTTCCTTGCGCTCGCATGCACATATATCCCAAACTATCTATGTACTATATCCCATAATGTTATTTCCTAATGGTTTACACAAGGCATACACAACCCATATAATGGATCCCAATGTATATTTAAAAATATGCTTTAGATTTGCTCTTTATGTTTAAGTGAATGTTAAGTAGTGTTTGACCCACAGTATCACAAGATAAAATATCAGGAGATTTCAGAGTGAAGAAATGGAATAAGTCTTTATTTCTGTCTTTCAGACAGTGGAGCGATAGTGGCAGGAATCCTGGTACCAATCCTGCTGTTATTGTGTGGAATCGGGATTTATCTCTTCTACTGCTACAAGCGGAGAGACGAAATCTGCCAGAAGGGTGACCGGAACCCAGAGCCAGAAGACAAACAGTTCTGGTAGTTCAGATTAAATTAATTATATCTTTTACAATAACTTGAATTCATACAGCATCATTTACACTTGAGAAGGTTTCAAAGTGCTTAATAATGGGAACAGTTGATATGCCGAATGCCTGGTTAAAGAGGTAGAAACATGGTTATTTGTAATGATTGGCATGTGATTAACAACAACAAACAAAATTACATTTGTAAAGCGCCTTTCAAGTCGGGAGGACATCCCAAGGCACTGGACAGACAGAGCTACGGACCCGAGCTGGGGGTTGGAGGGTGGAGGGCCGGGGGTTGAAGCAAAGAGATCGAAAGCACGGTCAAAAAAGAGGGTCTTGAGATGGGTCTTAAGATGGTGTCAAGGGAGGGGGCGAGGCAAAGGGACTGTGGAGTTCCAGGGGATGGGGGCAGAGTGGCGGAAGGCCCGCCCGCCAATAGTGGGGCGAGCAAGGAGGGGAATGTGAAGCAGGTCGGAGACGGCTAAGTGAAGGGAGCGGTCAGGTTGATAGGGGGTTAGGAGGTCGCAGAGGTAGTGAGGAGCAAGACAGTGGAGGGCTTTGAAGGTGAGGACCAGGGAGTTGGGCAAGGATGGGGGTGACAGGGTTCGTGGAGCCTAGTGCGGGAGAGGACATGGGCTGCAGAGTTCTGAATGATCTGCAGCCTGTGGAGGGAGGAGTTGGGGAGGCCGATAAGCAATGAGTTTGCATAGTCAAGCCTTGATGTAATGAAAGCGTGTATGGGGTTTTTGGCAGGCTATGGTGTGAAACAGTGCCGGAGCTGGGCAACGTGGGGGAGGTGGGGGAAGGCAGAGTAGGTTATGGCGCAGATGTGGGGTAGAAAGTATAGTCACCAGTAGATGAAGTATTTTTTGTTTTAATGTACTGAAATTATTGATTGGTAAAAGTGTTCTCACTTTGAGAGCTACTCCAATCTGTTCACGAAATGCACTGAACATTGCTGGGGGTATGCTGCATTGTTGGAGGTACTGTCCTTCAGATGAGTTGTTAAACTAAGATCCTGTCTGCCTGCTCAGGTGCAAATTAAATAAGTATTCAATAAGAGAACTGCATTTCTTCCCAAGGTCCTGGTGAACAAAACAATAGATAAAATTACTCATTCACTTCTTGGCTATTGTGAGAGGTTCCTCTAAGCGAATTAGTTGCCACATTTGCCTACAAAATGCAGTCACTACACTTTACCGTAAATCCTGTAAAGTGTTTAGAGCTATCCTCCTAATATGAAAGGTGCTGTAATAAGGATTATTATTTTATTATTATTATAACTTCTCTGATATCCATTCATAATGACATTTCTCGGCCTTTTTCATTCCCAGTCGTAATAACCTGGATCAGAAAATTAACAACGGTCATTCAAACCCAACCTTCCAAATCAAGAACAAGGACGACGTTGCAAAGGTTAGACTTCGAGAGAAATAATCTTTAGAGAGAAACAAAGTTTTGAGAAAGTCAGAACTGCTCCTGTACATCAGAAGCCTTGTGCAAAATTAGCGGCTGCACATGCCCACAAGAACACAGTCACTCCACTTTACAATTTATCCTGTGTAGTGCTTTGGGAATGCCTCCTAATGTGAAAGGTAGTGTACCAAATGCAAGGATTATTAGGATTCTGGTTATTTTCCTTTCCATTGATTGTTTAATTAATGAAATAATAAAGGGCACCTGTAATTCCCTCTGTACATATATGGGTTTCCCGTAAGGCTGCATTGACACATGGTTTACACATTGCACATAATGCATTTGCAGTTACACATACAGTAGTACATAATGCATACAATTGTTAAAGCTCAATGGGAAGAATGGCCACTTGGGCAAATATTAGGTGGAGTCTGGTGCCTCTGGTGATCCAGCACCTACCAGATCAGAGAAAATTAGAAGAGGGAAGAAACCAAAAATTAAAGTGATTATTTACCCTTAGTTTTTGTGTTTCAGACTGGACCACGGCACAGCCCTGCATTGCCACCGAAGCCACGACTACCTTATCCTGTATATTCTCCACAACCTGTCCTAATACTGCCAGCTCTTAAACCTACCTCGCCAGCCCTTAATAGTCACCAGAACAGCAGGGTGCCCAGTCCTGCCACACCAGGGCAACGGCCTCCACCACCACTGAGAAATTCTGCCAGTAAACCAACCAAACCAGCCCCTCCAAACAGACCGCTGCCAGTGGACCCAATCCCGAGGACTCCAAAGGTGTGAATCATATAGTGTCAAAGCACGGAAGCCAAACATTTAGCCCAAGCCTGTCCTGGTGCTTTTCTCCACATGAGACACATAGTTTAATCTTTTCCTGCTCACTCCCCATGCCCTTTAATATTCCCAATTATCCCAGCACAATTTTCACTCTAATTTCCAGATTTCAGAGAAGCCAACCTTGTTAGAAATCCCTGTGACTAACTATACTGCCAGGGCTCTATTTCTCAAAACGACTAAATCCTTGGATACTGTAATAGAATAATCAGCTATGCATCACTTAAGACGTTTTGACGTCAAAAAGGAATGAATGATTTGTTTCTTTTTGGTTGAAGGGCTTGCAGAGGCCAAAGGTGCCCCCAAAAGACCCGCTTAATAATAGCCCTGCTCCTAAACCCAGGATGCTGACAAGTAAGAAAGCTCTGTTGCCACCTACTGCACAGAAACAACTGGAGAACAGAATTAATTCTGAAACCAACCCATTCAAGTAAGTATGCCTAAATCTTACCCTACGCACTATTTGTCCCAGTATATTCTGTGAAGAGCTTTGATACATCTCGAAGACGTGCTAAGGCCCTATATCAAATGCAAGGATTATTATTATTATCTAGTAGATACATGTAAAATTACTGATCAGTGTCTGTACCATGGAGAGCAACTGTGAATGTCACAATCACAATAAACTCCGAAGTAGCCAATTAGGAATGTACACCACAGAAATCAGGATCATATGGCTATAGATACATGAGCTTGGCAGATAAATAAAAGGCAGAGGACTAGTTGTTGCCTTGGTAAATCGGAGGCACAGGGTCAAGGTTGTGAACCGCACAGCGAATTTAGAACAAATCCTGGGAAGTAATTCTTTACACAGAGGGTAATCATTTCAGAAACAACTCTGTGCTGTAATGGAATGATGACAGAGATGGTATTCTGAAAGGATGGGATTAAAAAAGGGCTCCTTTGTCCTTGTGGACTTGCTGACTCCTTCACTTCACTCCTGTTTTGAACCACAATTTGCATATCTCTGTGAGGCATATCAATCCTACCCTTGAACCCATATCTCCTTCGAGGCGTCTGATTCTTGCATTACAATAGGTAAACTACCTTTACACTGTTGAAGGTGGACCAGACATCGGTTATGCAGCTTAAGAGGGGTGGGTGTGCATCAGATTCCTGTGAATGAAGCTATAAGGAAGCGGCATCCTTGTTGCTTGCAAGGACAAGCATTGGGTGTGCTGTAATAGTAACTGGTTAGAAGGCCTGTCCAACTGAAAGCTTTTAAAGTGAAACAAACATCATGGTGAACCATAGTCAAAACAATGTGCAGTCGCATTTCAATTAGATTTATCACTACCTATCAGTAGAGATGTAAAGATGCCTCTTTTATATTGCCTCCGCAACATGATTTCTGTAATAGATGTCAGTCTGACTCTATTGATAGCACTCTTGCTTCTGGAGCAATTGGATGAGACACCAGAGAACAGGCAGTGGACATTCTGTTCTCTAGCAGGAGTCAGTGAATTCTGGAGAGAAGAATATTGAAGGAAGGCAGAAACTCTGAGAAAACAAGAAATCTTGTCCAATTTAAAATTGGAAGCAGATTTTCTGTCGCCATTTGCAAATAACGTAAATAATATCTGCTTTCCTTCCATTTGATATGTTTTGTGTCCTCTTGCCTCAATTTCAAGCACTCTTGCCTGTTGGTCAGAAAGTTGCAGGTTCAACCCCAAGTCTGGAAGTTGAACTCAGAGTCTAGGATGACACTTCAGTGCAATTCTGTGGGGCAGTGCTGCATTGTTTTAAGTTGACATCCTTCAGATGAGATATTAAACAGAGGCTCAGACTGCCTGCTTAAGTGGATATTAAAGATCCCTTGGCACTATTGGAAAAGAGAAGGGAGTTGCTTTATTGCCCTAGCCAACAATTCTCCAGATTAATTGGTCCTTCAACTCATGGCTGCATCAGTGGCCTACAAAGACACAGTGACAACATCTTGCCATAAAAACTGGAACACACGATAAGGTACTATATAAATGCTAGTTCTTTTTTTTTACAGAAGGGACCATTCCTAGTGTGCACTGGGAGAAGAAGGATTTGGGAAACTCTGCTCATTGGGATTTCACTGGAACTTCTCAAGCACCATTTGCACTAACTGGGCCTCCAGCAGCTATCTCATAATCTGTCACTATCAGGGTTAACGCAATAATCGGTGTGATGCTAAATTCAATGCCACTAAATGTAGAGGAACCATTTTACAGCATGTAACAGCTTTTTATTGTGGAGCATTGGGCCTCAAGTAATTCTTGTGAGTGAATATTTTCACCATAAGTTCATTGAATTCTTGAACGCTGGGGCCTGTGTTTGTATTTGTATTCTCCTCGGAATGCAATTTTGTTTGTGAATTTTGTGCTCATCAAAGTGAGGGATGTTGGTGCTAGAGAATGGAACAATTTTCCCTTTCAGGCACCAAGTGTCAGCATCAAGTATTCTCAGGTCTGGTACACAAGAGTAAAGTAGTTCTCTCTACAGTCCTCACGCCTCAACTTCAGAAGAGTTAACTGTACCTGTGCCCCCCTCACATTCACTTGGACTTGGGTTAATACAGCTCATACTTATTTCACACTGAACTCTTAAAACCAACAAGCAGAGAATTTCACCCTCCCAGTTTGGTTTCAAAAGACCAGCGTGGAATTGCTCATGGTCTTGGCCTCAGAAACATTATCTTCACATTTAGGATCAGGCAAAATTTGGGGACAATTCTTAAATTTGTTCCAAATTTAGAAGCTGGTTATCTGCATCTCCTAAAAAGTCATTTTGCAAATTAAAATTGAATTTTCCAAAATTAAAAATAATTTTCCAAAATTCTGCAGTGTAAGTTACAGGTTCCAGAAGACAGACCTATGTCATCCACAGCACTAACTTCCCTCTCCATGCACTTTTAGAAGTATTGTTTACAAGTACTGAATTACTTGGATCTGTCATCAAGACAATGCAGCATTTGTGGAGTCCTGTAGCTTCGTGGTTAAAACACTCGCCTCACAAGCGAGAGGACTTGGGTTTGATTTCTAGGAAGGGCGTAATGTTAGGCAAGTTTCCTTACTCTAAACGGCTCTGTTTACCTAGCAGTAAGTAGGAACCTGTTTGTTAGTCAATTGGCAGATCGCTTTTCTGGGAATTATAATCCCTTAAAAATAATTTTTTAAAAAATTTGGTCACTCAATCCAGTTGTTTATGGGACACTGCTGTGCCCAATTGGCTGCCGTTTTTTGCTCACAAAATATACAGTCAATTCAATTTACAGTGTATTCTGTGAAGCGCTTTGAGACGTCTCAAAGATGTGATAAGGTGCTATATATAACAAATGCAAGAATTATTATTATTTGCAAGAGACCATGTGGCTCAGTTGCACACTGGGTAGTGCCATTACCACCTGAGCCATCGAAGGACTGAACCATTGTTACTTGTTGCCGAGGACAGCGATTCCAAGCAGTATCTCATCGAAGACCACTCTTGAACGCAACAACTCTCAGCATCTCAGAGCGGACTACTTGGGGCTATGATCTCAGTGTCTCACTTGGTAAACTTCTGATGTCATTCCCGCTGTAAGTTGTAGTTGGTCATTTCTCCCCGGGGAGAGAGTTACACGAGCTAAAGGGGTGAAAAAGATGAGATTCAATGGGATAATTATTATTCAGAGTTAAGCCAATACTCTGCAACATGGTGCTGAAATATTGCAGTCCATGTCACAGTATGTACAATTGCCACCGCCATTTAATGATGTCGGGGTGGGGCAGCTACTCATCGACTGAGCCATTGACAGTAGTGTATTTTCTGACAATGTGATAATTTAATCTGTGATGATGATTACATTGAATGTCGCACTTTTCACCCACGGTCGCATTAAAGAGACAGGTCTTATTAGTATAATAAGGCACTTTGACTTGCTGTATGGATCCTAGGTTAAGATGGTCTCTTCGAATTCCCCTTCACAGCAGAGAAGGAACCGTGCTGAACCTCAGGTCTAGAAAGTTACACCTCAGGAGATACCTGGAGTAGCATGTCTACTGAAGGTCAGAAATCAAGGGAAGGTGGACCACAAATGTCTCCTGGGCCATGTTATGAGCCCACTGATTACAGGAAATCTTAAGTCTTTAATTTGAAGTATTTCTTAACAGAAATGTGTTCTCAAATTTCCAAACGTTGAGTGCGTTATGAATGCTTTCTTCAGCACACTTAATATTTTAGAAATTTGATAATTCACATTTCTTACTTTGAAATCTATTAAGAAATACGGAAGATTAGACCCGACTCCCATTATGTTGTAATTTTTCAGACTTCAGTTATGGGATCACATTGTACCATCAAATAGCAGCTTTCAATTGAAAAAAAAACCTTTCTCAGTTGAATGGAATTTGCACTCAAGGGAGCATTTGCCTCAGTATATTTAATCTGTATTTCTCTTTTGCGCAGCTAGCTTTGAGTTCTTATATTGTGTATGTTGTAGCATTTTGCAAATTCTTCAGTATTTGTGAATGGCAATTGATGCGGTTCATTGATAAGAACTCACTCATTCATTAAAAAAATGTTTTGCTGCCGTTATGTAAATATTGTAATGTATAAACCGAGTTACTGCACTGGAATTCTCAATGATGAGTCTCCGAGATGAACTCATAGAGCCATAGTACTTTATAGCACAGAGGGTGACCATTTGCCCTATCTTGCCTGTGCAAGTGCTCCTGAAAGAGCTATCCATGTTGTCCCCTTTTGACTTTTTCCAATACAATTTTTTTTTCGAATATTCATCCCATTCTTTTAAAAGCTATTATGCATTATAAATTATGCTTCAACCACCATTTGATAGGGAAAGTTGTAAAATCATGTTTTAAAAAAATCTAACCTATCCATCCCTTTGTTGTTTTTGCTGATGATCTTAAATTTAAAGTCATTTACTAGGTTGAAGTTAAATTGGTTGACGGAATTCCTATCCATTTTGTTTTAGGTGTCAGGTTCAAAACTGAGCCTGTGTTGACCTTTGATGAAATTAGGATATATCACTTGAAGCGATGGCCTTAAGATAGACCTAGCTAGGCAGCTCAGATACTTCACTTTGCTACCCTGTCTGAGAAAATGCAAGAAATCTTTATCGAAGGTATCTTGGAATAAGATCGTAAAAAGAAATCTCCCAGTCTTCTTTTCTGAGCTGTCTTTTAATTGAAACCCTTTGACCTATTGAGACTTTTAGAACAGTGCGGTCTAATTTGACATATTCACAAAAGTATTTGGAAGTAGTATATCCTGCGGGTACCTGAATGTGTCACCTGCCAATTGTGCTCAAAGGCAATTTTAGTTTTAACTCCCGCAACACTGGATTGGGGTCAAAGGAGGAGGTTCCTGGAATCTGCTTGGTGATCGGAGTCTGAGCATAAATCCGTCGGGTCAGCCTGAGACACATCTGGGCACCTGTAGGATCCACTTAAAACAAATTATTTTGCGAATCTAGCAAACTAGATTCCAGAGTATGTGTCAGATGAAAGGACCCCTAGAATTCACTAGAAATTAATTAAATCAAAACAGAATCCTTTACTGGTTTTGATGGTGCAGAGCAAAATTATTTAGCTATTTTTTAAACAATGTGTTTGCAACTGTGGAATGTATGTATTGTATTTAACTGGGTATATTTACTGTATGAACCTGGGTAAACTTATTGTATATAACTGGGTAAACTTGCTGTATGTAACTGGGTAACCTAGTACTTGAAAAATGCCATGAATTGTGCCTTCGAGTTTACATTATTTATTAAGTTAATAAAAATGATACTGCACCAAGTAATATGCTATCTATCCTTTTGTCCTCAATGGTTAATGTCATTGTTCTGTGACAGCTTGAGTTAGACATTGTGGATTCAAGCCCCACATTGGGACTTTCAGTCCATCGTCCTGGCTGACACTGTAATGGGAGAGTGCCTCATTGTCAGAGGTGCCATCTTTTAGATGAGATATTAAACCAAGGACTCAACTGCCGGTCCAGATGAACATTAAAGATCTGATGTCACCATTTGAAAGGAGTTCCTCCCAGTGACCTGGCCAACAATCCCCCAGATTGATTAAGTATTAGTTATTCACTTTGTAGGTGTTTGACTGTATTAAGACAACTTTTTCCTCCTTATTCTCTCTGGCCTCTCGTCATGATTGATCACTCCATCCTTCACCACCATCTCTCCTCCCTACTCCATCCTTATGACCCTGCCCCTTTCTGGTTCACTCTCACCTATCATTTATCTTCTCCTTTTCACCATCTGTATGCTACCACTTGGTGACATCATCCACTTCCACATAGGGTCCACATTCACATAGACATGGATGCTAACCAACTCTATCTCGCTGTCTATCTCTCTGTCTCAATTTCAGGACCTGTGAGACATCAAGTCCTGGATGAGTTCTTTCTATAATTAAAAATGACAACAAGACTGAGGCTCTCCTGCTTGGATCCAAACACTGCCTTCTCATTCTTAGGCACTGACCATGTTGACCTTATGGATGCTCACCCCACCTCATGGAGCTGGTACAGGATAGAAACCAGTGGTTTGATCAACATCACCAGTCCTTCGAATCCCACATCCAGGCTCTCACGCTTGGCTTTTCCTCACCTCCGCAACATTGCCCACCTCTACGACGTCTCCTCTAGTCTGCTAAAACCGTCGTTCATACCATCATCACATCCAGGTTTGACTACTCAAAACCCAGCTCCCAGCCCCTCGCACACAAACTGCACACCACCTAGAACTCTAGTCTGTGTCCTCTCTTGCACGAGGTTCCACGAGTCCATCATTCTCATCTTCCACTAATTCCACTGGCTGCCCATCCCCTTGCAGATCAAATTCAAGATCTCATCTTTTCTTTCAAATCGCTCCACGGCCTTGCACCCTACATCTGTGACCTGTAATCCTACTGTCCCGATTGCAGCCTGTCTTGCCTTACGTCTCTTGTCCAATACATACCACCGTTGGAGGGCGACCTTCAGCATTCTGCCCCATTCACTGGTTCACTCATAACTAGTGGACAAAAATAAGCCAGCGACGAGGGGATCTGAAAGTGAATATTTCACCCAGAGGGTAGTGAGATTGTGGAACTCACTGCCTGAAGGGGAAGCTAGACCTTGAGGGAGAGGGGAGTAGAAGGGATGGAGGGAGTAAGGAATGGGTGGAGATTTCTGTGGAGTTTCAACACCGGCATAGACGGGTTGGGCTGAAGGCTGTAGATTCTTTGTAATTTGACTGTTAAAAAGTCTACATTACATATACTACAACTCTTCATAGCTTGGTTGTCCAATATCTCTTCAGTATTTATATGCTCCCTCTTGGTGACATCATCTGCAGACATGGGGTCAACTTCCACATGTATGCAGATGACACCCAACTCTATCACTCTGCCTCCACCCTCAACTCCAGGACCACTGTTGTACTGTCAGACATCAAGTCCTGAATGAGAGCTAATTTTCTCCAGTTGAATGTCAACAAGACCGAGGCTCTCCTAATTCACTGCCCGGATACTCACCTGCACAAAACTCTGTAACCCTATCGCACCAACAACAGAGTTACATTTACATAGTCTTTCATGTTGGGAGGATGTCCCAAGGTGCTGTACAGTCAAGTCAGTGTTTCAGACCTGAGCTGGGGGGGGGGTCGGGATTGGGGAGGGTGGAGGGCACAGGGGCAAGGAGGGAGGTCGAAAGCACAGTCGAAGGAGGCAAGGGAGGGTTGAGGCAGAGGGACTGGGGGATGGAGTTTCAGAGGGTGGGGGCAGAGTAGCTTAAGGCTCGCCCGCCAATGGTTGGGCGGGAGAGGCGGGGGACATAAAACAGACTGGAGCCCGCTGCACGGAGGGAGCGGGCAGGTTGGTAGGGGGTTAGGCGGCCCAGGTGTGAGACAAGCGGAGCCGGGTGATGTTGCGGAGGTGGGGGAAGGCAGAGCGGGACATGGCGCGGATGTGGGGTAGAAAGGATAGTTGATGGTCAAAGAAGACTCCAGTCCTTGCCAGGCTCCATTGGCTCCCAATCACCTAACGGATCGACTTCAAGATCCTCTCATTCGTTTTCAAATCCCTTCGTGCTCTCCTTCCCTAATCTGTTTAACCCCCAAGTCCACCACCCGCTGCCTCCGCTCGGGCGGGCTCCAGCCTCCCTCCCCCCCTCAGCAGCGCCTCCCCCCTCCCTCACCAGCGCCTCCCACCTCCCCCCATCACCAGCGCCTCCCCCCTCCCCCCCCTCACCAGCGCCTCCCCCCTCCCCCCCTCACCAGCGCCCCCCCTCCCCCCTCACCAGCGCCTCCCCCCTCCCCCCCTCACCAGCGCCTCCCCTCCCCCCCCCCTCACCAGCGCCTCTCCCCCCCCCCTCACCAGCGCCTCCCCTCCCCCCCCTCACCAGCGCCTCCCCCCCTCCCTCACCAGCGCCTCCCCCCTCCCTCACCAGCGCCTCCCCTCCCCCCCCCCTCACCAGCGCCTCCCCCCTCCCTCACCAGCGCCTCCCCCCTCCCCTCACCAGCGCCTCCCCCCTCCCCCCCTCACCAGCGCCTCCCCTCCCCCCTCCCTCACCAGCGCCTCCCTCCCCCCCCTCACCAGCGCCTCCCCTCCCCCCCCCTCACCAGCGCCTCCCCCCCCCTCACCAGCGCCTCCCCCCTCCCTCACCAGCGCCTCCCCCCTCCCTCACCAGCGCCTCCCCTCCCCCCCCCCTCACCAGCGCCTCCCCCCCCCTCACCAGCGCCTCCCCCCTCCTCACCAGCGCCTCCCCCGCCCCCTCACCAGCGCCTCCCCCCTCCCTCACCAGCGCCTCCCCCCCCCTCACCAGCGCCTCCCCCCTCCCCCCCCCTCACCAGCGCCTCCCCCCCCCCCCCCCCCTCACCATCACCAGCGCCTCCCCCCCCCCCCCCTCACCAGCGCCTCCCCCCCCTCACCAGCGCCTCCCCCCTCCCCCCCTCCCCCGGCTCGGGGTCAGACTCCCGCCGCTGTCCAGCGCTGCCCCGCGCGAAGGGCGCTATATGAATGCGAGTTGTTGTTGTTGTCGATGTTGAAAGCCTCTCCGCGCTCCAGTTTTACTCGGAGCCGCGGGGGTGTCCGTGTCCCTGAGGCTCCCCCTCGTGGCAGTCAGTGCGGCCCCGGAACCTCTGGTCGGGGAGCGGGGGATCCGGGGAGCGGCGGACCGCGGGGGGAGGGGCACCGAGGAGCGCGAAGGACGGTTTACACAGAGGGACTTCCGCCGGACACGCAGACGGTAAACTCCGCGTTTAAAGAGGCAGAAATAAAATATAAACAGGTAAATAAAGCGGACAAAAGCCCCTCCTCCCCCACTCCCCCCCTCCCCCACACCCCCTCCCGCCCGCCCGCCCTCCTCAGGGGGTGGGGATGAGGGGTGAGAGCGGCCACGGAGTAACCGAGAGACACCTCCCGGTGACTGAGGCGGGGCCTCAGCGTCTGTCACACACAGTGACTGAGGGGCTCAGTGTCTGTTACACACTGTGATTGAGGCTCTGTGTCTGTCACACACTGTGACTGAGGCTCAGTGTCTGTTACACACAGTGACTGATGGGCTCAGTGTCTGTTACACACAGTGACTGAGGGGCTCAGTATCACACACAGTGACTGAGGGGCTCAGTGTCTGTTACACACAGTAACTGGGGCACTCAGTGTCACACACAGTGACTGGGAGGCTCATGTCACACACAGTGACTGAGGGGCTCAGTGTCTGTCCACACATGGTGGGGCGGGAAGTGCGGGGGACCTGAAGCAGGCCGGTGTCCGCCGAGCGGAGGGAGCGGACAGGTTGATATGGGGTTATGAGGCCGGAGAGGTATGGGGGAGCAGTGCCATGGATGGCCGAAGGTAAGAACGAGGATTTTGTACTCGATTCTCTGAGGAATGGGGAACCAGTGAAGCTGGGCAAATACGGGGGTGATAAGTTCCCGGAGCGGGAGAGGACACCGGCTGCAGAGTTCTAAATAATCTGCATCATATGGAGGGAAGAGTTAGGAAGTCCAGCGAGCGGGCAGTTGTAGTCAAGCCAGGATGTAATGAAAGTGTGGATCATGATCTCAGCGGCCTGCAGTGAGAGGCAGTGGCGGAGGTGGGCATCGTTGTGGAAGTGTGAAAAGGCAGAACGGATCACGGCACGAATGTAGGGTTTGAAGGATAGCCGAGGGTCGAAAAGGACACAGAGGTTTCGGATTGGTGAGGTGAAGAGTGCAGCCATGAATGGTAATAGTGTCAGCGGCTGAGGTGCGGAGGCGCTGCCGGGAGCAAAGCAGGAGGACCTCTGTCTTGCCAACATTGAGTTGGAGGAAGTTGGCTCTCAACCAGGACTTGGTGTCAGACAGATAATTAGCTAGGACATCAACGGTCCTGGAGTTGAGGGTGGGAGCGGGGAGCTAAGAATATGGTATAGTAGAGAGTGAGATGCTCAAATGAGGAGAAGGATCCAGAGGAGTAAGAAGATGGACCCAGTGAGAACCTGGAGATGAGGACCACACCTCCGCCACGATGGTTAGTTCGCGGGGGATGATGGAAGGTACACCCAGGTGTCATGGCCTCAGTAAAGGGGAAGATGCCGCCTGGAGTGATCCAGATTTCAGTGAAAGCAAAGATGTGAGAGCAGTCTCACAGTGACTGAGGGGTTCAGTGTATGTCACAGTTTTCTCTCTCTCTCCTGCTTACTATAAATGATAAATCTCTTCACCAAAGACCTGTTTAAATGTGTAATTAAATGACTATTTCTCTGTGCTGAACTCCCAGAATCATGTTCTCTGTCTGTCCCTCTCTCATCTCCAGACTTTATCATATTATGTATAGATATACTACCTTTCATATAATAAATTATAAATTATAATTATAAATACAATTTTTTTATTTTATTTACATGTATAACATGTATGTATAGGTTTATTATATCCTTGGATATCATATCTTCAGTCTGTTTCAGATTTATTGTATTCCTACTATCTCTCCCTCTCTCTCCCCAATGTGCCTGCAGTTTTCTTTTGCAGATTTTTCAGCACCTAGATGGGGTTGTGAGGTTTGCACTGATGGAGACGGGCGTACTGCAAACACTTGGAAATGTCTACGTGTTTTTTGTTTTTCCTTTTGAGAAAGAAAATAAACATTTAACAAAATGGGTCATGGTTTTAAATCAGAAAAAGCTGTGAATACTGGCAAATTCTTGAGTATTTTTTTGAAAACTCGTCTGTTACTATATTGGGAGGGGGTGAGGGAATGTTGTGTGAAGGGCTACAATGTAATCTTACAGATTTCTGAGGAAGAAGTATCCGCAGTGCCTGTGTAAATGTACAGCTCTGAATTCCAGGCAGAGGGCGAAACCTTGGGCAAGTTTCCTTACTCCACACAGAGCCTAATAATAATCCCTCCAAAAACCAAAAACAATAATTAAAATTGGTCATTTTCAATCTACGACTGTTTGTGGGACATTGCTGTGCGCAATTGGCTGCCGCGTTTGCCCACAAATATACAGTCAATTCACTTTACAGTGTCTTCTGTGAAGCGCTTTGGGACGTCCTCCCGACGTGAAAAGCGCTATATCAAATGCAAGGATTATTATATATTATTATTATTATTACATTGCATGTAGAGGACACAAATTGAGGATAATAATTGACATTAATTGACTGTTGCTGTGAATGTTGACTGCTGTATTTCATAATAATATAGATTTTTTTGTGCTAACTTAATGCAAGTTAGCTCTTTTACTCCCTGTTCCTTAATATTCCTATTTCCTGGATGCTTATCCAACTATGTTGGTGAAGAGTTAAGGCCTTGCTCATTAGATTGGACCAAGGTTTCCCTTTGTCTTTTCCCTGACTGTCCAGCACCTTGGGACGTCTTGCCGACATGAAAGACACGAGACAAATGTGGTTTGTTATTGTTGCTGCTTATGTTAGGAAGTTTAACAAGTTCTCATTTAATGGGCTGAATGACCTCTCTCTGTCCTGTAAATGTTCCTTGATTCTATTCTGCAGCAAAATACTTTGCAATGTAAAGATCAAAAAAATGTTCTTTTTTCTGTGTTTTGTGTTTCGATTAAAGCTCAACACTATCTGTGACGATGTCAGTATCAATAATAATAAAATGGAGTGGGCAGGAATATCCAGTTACAAAACTGACTGAGGAGGACACAGTGCTAGATCTGAAGGAGACGATTAAAACGCTAACCGGAGTGCTCCCGGAACGGCAGAAATTATTAGGCCTTAAGATCAAAGGTAACTTTTGTCTATATTTTCTGTAGCTATGATGGACTTGGTTCAAATGTAACAAGAAAAAAAAGCTTGCATTGGTTTACTGTCTGAGCATGTCAATATATCTCAAAAGAGCTTTAGTACTGTCAGAACTTGGTACAAAATGCTTTGATATAGAATGTATTTATAGCACCATGGACTTGCTGTTTACCAGAAACCCTGTACATTTTCAGCACTGATGGGCTGACTTCCTGCGTATAGTGCTCAGGTACAACAGGTCTGTTGTGAGACATTTGAAAACACTACTTCAGTGAGCGAGTAGTAAACCTATGGAACAGGCTCCTGTGGAAACACTGGAAGCAGAAAATGTTGTTTCTTTGTTTCAAGAACAAATTAGATAGATTTCTGCGAGAAAACAATATCTCGGGATACCGTATATAGTTTGTGACACGACATGTCAAGCGACTGACAGGATAGTGGAAGCAAACTAGATGGACCTTGGTCTTCTTTCGCCCAGCAAATTCTTATGTTCCTATGGTTGCTGACTTCCTGAAAGTTGCCCATGTCCAGCATAAATGAACCATTCTAACATCAGCAGTGACCTAATGACCTGGAAATGCTGATTGGTATCCATTTGCATAGCTCCCAACCCTCTGTGTTCTAACACAGGATTTGAGTATGTGGACACCAAACCCATCAGATTCTAATGACTATTAAGTGCAGTCATTTGTTTTTGTAGGCAGTGTAATTTACTTCTGAGTGCATCCAAACTGTAGCAGATTCTTATTGAATCATGCTGGATCTATCCCAAATGGACCTGGGAAATTTGGATAGTCATTTGCAAATATCTGATGTAATTCTATATCATGCAGTTGTTGACCTTTGTACCTTAAATCAGCCTTCATGTTTAAAGATCTGGACACAGATTATCGGAATTGAGGTGAATTGGATGGATGAGGTGAATTGGATGGATGTGATCTCTTTCTCAATTGTAAAGGTGGCTTCTATTTGTTGTTCTTGCCTTTGATGTGATTGCACACCTGTTCAGCCTCAAGGTATTTCTATCCAAATGAAGCCAATGTTTTGGAAACTGCCTTATAAAGTGAGCTCATTCTCTAGGCTGACAGCCCAGTTTAGCAGTGGAGAAGTACTAATAATTATACAATAATTATTGTGAAGTGTTTTGAGATGTTTGACTTGAAGGTGCTATAAAATATGTTGTTTCTTTAGAATTTACAAAATGTTTGGTACAGGATGCCACTGTGACATCAACCTTGTAGCTTCTAGCTGCTCAGTGAACAAATTATCTGTGGCTGGGTACACAGTGTTAGTTAGCACCTGGTATTAGCATGCCCAAGCTATTTTTATTTCCAAATAACTTGATTGCACCCTACTGGTTACCTCGAACAGACGTTGTCACCAATTCCCAGAGAAAAGTCATTGGCGGTTTGTGGACATTACTATGCACACATTGGCTGCTGTGTTTGCCTACAAAACACCCTGTCACTACATGTTACAGTTAATCCTATAAAGATCTTTGAGACATTCTCCTAACTTTGAAAGGCATGATATCAAATGCAGTGATTCTTATTAGAATGTGTTTGTGTAAGAGACATCCTTCAGGGAGCCTCGATACTCTGTTCCAGAAAATTTGCTTCATGATAAACCTGAGTTCCTTTTACTTTTTCCCCTATCTCTACTTGTAGGTAAACCTGCAGAAAATGATGTGAAGCTTGGCGTGCTTAAACTGAAACCAAATACCAAAATCATGATGATGGGCAGCAGGGAGGAGAGCCTGGTAGGGAACCAATATTCAGCTATCAAAACTATTTGCAGCAGTTCCTTCACATATTTTTCATGCAATAGAAAGAAAAAAACATGCATTTTTGTAGCATTTTATTGTCCATATGCTTTGGAGTAATTACTGTAAACGTAGTGAGTATTTTTCTGTAGGAGAAAAGTATAGACATTTTGCGCACAGATGGATTCCACGAACAGTCATCAGGTGAATGAACAAATTATGTGGAGCATTGTTGGCCAGGACACTGTGGAAAAAATCCTTGTTTCTTTTTGAAATGGTGAAATGGGATCTTTAATGTTGACGTAAAGAACAGGCAGACAGGATTTTGGTTTAACTTTTCATTCGTAGCATGGTGAATAATTTCTGTGAAGTGTTTTGAAGTACAGTGGAAGTCAGTTAAGCCAGGCACATCGGGGACGGACATTTTGTCCGACTTAAGAGGAGTCCGAGTTAACCAAAATATCGTTCCCATCCAGCAGAAGAGCGCTGCCAACACCGTATAATAATGTGTAATAATGTTGTTTCACTTGAAGCAATGTTAACTAACTTTAAGTACTCTCACAGAATTCAGTAAAGTATAGTTACCTTTGTTTGACTGCAAATACAGTGCAGTACTTTCCTGCCCAGTGGTGGTGCTACCTCCCTCCCATTGCCGTTCCCCTTGGACAAGAAGGGGGCCAATTAGCGGCGGCTGGGATGATAGACACCCTGCAGCCTCTTGTGAATGGATGGGCTCCACCAATTCACAAACGCCTCAGCTGTCAATCAATCTCAATTTCCTCCCTTATTCTTCCCCATTCCTCGCCCCCCCCCCACCCCCCCCCTCACTGATTGACAGCCCAACTTCAGCCGCTTTGTAAATGGCTGGAGTCCAATGTCAATTGCAATTTGACTCCTCCCATCTCCATTCTGGAGTCCCTCGTGGCTACAGGTTCGACATAGCGGAGACCAACGCTGTATTCTGTCCGGATTAACCCGATTTTTGGCTGAATTAACAGGCATATTTAAATCAGGTAAGAATACTACAACAATAACAAATTCCAATTGTAAAGCGCCTTTCACGAATGAGTCGGGACGGGGCATTTTGTTTGATTTACCCGATGTCTGGGGTTAACGTCCTGGCAAAAGCGGATTCCACTGTACTTTAATGTGATAAAACAGTATAACATATATATTTTCTTTCTTCAACACCAGCAATAGAACAATTTGCCTAGAGTATAGATTCATGCAGCTTGCAATACTTTTGAGTTGTTGGTTTGATTAGTCTTTTTAAATAAACGGTTCTGTTTCTTTGCTAGGAGGAAGTACTGGCTCCACCCCCTGACAATGATGATGTTATCAATGACTTTGATATCGAGGAAGATGTTATAGAAGTAGAAAACAGGTAATTTCTCTGTGTTTGGTAATCGTTTACTCCTTCTGGGCATCTTACACTAAAAGGATAATATTTAGTTTAAGGCTGTTGCGAACTGTGGAATCGAAGGAGGCAGAAAAGGTCTTAGAAAAAGGTCAGGTAATGCGATTGGGCTGATGATTGGTAACAGAAGTTCAATGCAGATAAACTACCTATAGGAAGTAAAAATAGGAAGCACATGTGTATGTGGACGGGCTGGAATGCGCCAAGGAGTAAGCTGAAACAGAGGCAGAAGTGTTTAATGACTCATTACTCACCAAATAGGCAGCAATAAAGAAAGGCAAGCAGAATGCTGCGCTATATTATAATAATAATCCTTACATTTGACATAGTGCCTTACCACATTGAGATGGGGAATTCTTGACTAGAACACCTGGATAAATCCCCTTTTCATATAGTGTTGTAGGACCTTTAACATTCACCTGAACAGGCAGCCAGGATTTCGGTTAATATCTCGTCTGATGGGCAGCACTTCCAACAATGCAGTGCGCCCCCAGAACTATGTTGGAGTGTCAGACTAGACTCAGTTCAGATTCTGATGTGAAGCTGGAACCCACAAATTCTGGTACTCGGAGATGAGAGTGCTACCAACTGAGCCAGGCTGACCCAAATTAGTTGAGTCCAGATCTCTAGACATCACGCGCAAACTGCACTGTACTTTGGTCAGGCCAGAGCGAGAATACTGCATGGATTTCTGTTTGCCATGATTTAAGGGGTCAGCTAAGGACTTAGAGGCAATTTAGAGGCAAGAAACTAGCATGTTCCCGGTGTTGTTCAAAATAAAAAAGAGAACCTTACTGAGGTATATAAGATTCTAAATGGAATTGAGAAACCCAGAAATAGGAATGGCCAGGAATAATATTTTTACTTGGTTTTTCATTTCTAGAGAAGAAAACTTGGCTAAAATTGCACGCAGAGTAAAAGATTACAAAGTAGATATTTTAAATCCACCTCGTGAAGGAAAAAAGCTGCTCGTTTTAGATGTTGACTACACACTATTTGGTAAGTCCTGTTCATTTTATGTTCTATAATTTGTTTTTTTACATTAACTGTAAATCAGAACTTTGTCAGCTGTCAAGTGCATAATTATCACCTCTTTGTTGCCATCGATGTCACTTCCTGCGCAGGACAGTACAATTACAAAACTACATTGGTATAGCGCCTTTCACGTCGGGAGGACGTCCCAAGGCACTGGACATGGGCAGTCAGGGATTTGGACCCGAGCGGGCGGGGGCTGCCTGTGCACTGCACAGGACGTGATATCTGTGGTGATCTTACGACTCAAAACTCCAGCATTTTTCTACTGGCAAATTTCACTAAAAATAAAAACATAATAAATGTCTGTTATCCGTCTAAATTAAAGAAAATCAAAATCCGACAAATCTCATCATTTCCGCATCTGAACATTTCTAATGGTATTTAATCTAATCAATTTGTTTGTGTGTGATGTTCTGAGAATGTAATTGTCTTGACTCCGTCTGTTTCTTGCTGCTGAAATGGCCCTTTAAGTTTTCGAAGAATGCACTTGAGATTTTATATTGCTGCTCATTGGAGTCGTGATTGGGGAACGGAAGCTTATCTTATTTGAGACATTTCCCATGTAAATATTACCAATAACAACAATGAATTAGATGTAATGCAAAACTCCAGTGTGGAGTCTGGGGTAGAGAGAGAGAGCACAGGTTACATAAATACAGATGGACTGGATCACATCAGTGCCTTCAAGGTGTTTACATACTAAGCTGCTTTGTTGCTTAGTGATTTGTTACATACATGTATGTGGCAGCAAATTTTTACCAGCAGTGATCGACAAACAGCAGTGAGGCAAATGGTGAATCTATCTGTTTTATTAATGCATTTAGATGCAAGATAAAGTTTCCTTTATACTCATAGAATAAGAGTCCTTAATTTTACCATTAAAACAATTCCATTTCTCACACGTTCATGTGGTTTTGAGTGCAATTACGAAATTTGGCTCAGTTTTGTTCTCTAGGCCCGTGCAAACAAAGAAGTACATTAAGACTGCCTCAACTCAGTTAAGATCCACATATCATAAAAGACTGGATTGAAACTGAAGATGGCAGAGGTGAAAAAACAGGGTACTAACCTTCTCTTCCACCTGGTCCCCCAAGAGTGTTCAGTAAAGGCCACAGAAACTCAATAGTTTATGTCTATGATTACTAACTGGGGTCTATGTATGCTTCTTAAATCGAACTATATCTGGCTATTGATTTTCGTAAACCTGATTTAAGATCACAGGTCCTGTGCTGAAAGTGGACATGAACTAATGAGGCCCTATCTACACGAGTTCCTTACATCTGCGTATGAAGATTATGACATTGTTATATGGTGTAAGTAATCCGATGGACAAAATCAATCCTTTCACTTTCCCATCATAACCCTTGACAAAACACATGATAGAGGGAGGTGTGGATATCAGTTAACGATGCTTGAAAAGTAATACAGAAAACTGTCCCATTTACTATGGGGAAAGTCTAAGGATCCAGCTACAATCTGGAAACTACTATGTATGTGCAATTTTAAGTGCAACTTCATAATGTTTGATTTCTTTTTTGTTTCTGGACAAGGTCTGGGCTGCACAGCAGAGCCAAAAGTACATTGTCCTGTCAGAGCAAATTGATAACGAAGTCCAACACCCTTTGAAAAAACAAGAGTATACACCTCTGGATGCTTTTTCCTCAGCTAGTGCCTTCCAGAGGCATAATGATGAGACAATACCTTGAGATAATAGTACTGTCACTGAAGTCAGGACTCCCACAAGAAGTATTGGCGTAAGCTCAGTGTAGGGCTATATTTCAATGTACTTCAGTTACAGCAAAATGAGGCAGCGCACGACCTTCATTGCATACCTTATAAATTAACCAGAACTTATTGGTGAAACTGGTAATAGTCTATTTTGTGCTGTATGAACAGCAATATTTAATATGTAAGTGTACAATAACATCATTTGCATAAAAACCAATAGAGAATCAAGAAATTGTTTGATTGGATTGTCAGAGGTTTGAACAGTCCTTATCTCTGGTATCACTCTTAACTTGATTAGAAAGTGCATGAATAGAATTCATTCAGACCGAGTGCAGTGCAGGCATGTATGGATTATCACTCATTTACAGTCTCTAGCCTCAGTGGCAATTGATCTTGTGAAATGGGAAATTTGGAGCAAGAATCTTCTTACAACAAATACCTGACATTTATTATTTCATAATAATAATTCTAGCATTTTTGCACATTTTTGATGATATATGATGAAGTTTTCAGAGCAAATTATCTAATTAACAATTTGGAGCTAATATTTTTAATTTAATTCTCACTAAAGCAATTCGAGTTGTGCCTCCTTCTATTCCAGGTTGTGAGGTAGCTGTGGTGTGTTGAGATTGACCTTGTGTTTTCTCTGTCCACAGCTGCTACCAGCATGAAGTGGATTGAAGTAAAAATGAAAGTAAGTTTGTCTCCGGGTCTTTTCCTTTTGGTGTGAATTTAGATTGAAAGTGATGCTGGTGGAATGGTTTTAATTTGTGTGCTGTGGCAGTAGGAAGCGCTCCACTTCTGGAGTTATTGTGTTGCAAGCCAGTTGTGAACCCCTGTCCACAGGACACGTTTCTGCCTCTTGTGCGTGCCATTATTTACCTTAACATTGAATTAATTGTGGAGTCCTGTAGCTTAATGGTTAGATCGCTCGCCTCGCTAAGCAAGGGGACCTGGGTTTGATTCCCAGCAGAGCGAAACGTTTGGCAAGTTTCCTTACTCCACACACTCCTGTTCACCTAGCAGTAAGTAGTAACCCGGTTGTGAGTCGATTGGTGGATCGCTTTTCCGGAGGTAATAATTGCTTCAAAAATAATAAGTAAATAAATTGGTCACTCAATCCACGACTGTTTGTGGGACACTGCTGTGCACAATTGGCTGCCGCGTTTCGCCCACAAAATATACAGTCAATTCACTTTACAGTATATTCTGTGAAGCGCTTTGAGACATCTCGACGATGTGATAAGACACTATATCAAATGCAACGATTATTATTATTTCTAAACAGCTAAATGAAGAAAGAACTCACCTTCCACCCTCATAATAGAATCATAGAAATTACAGCACAGAAAGACGTTCAACCGATCAAGTTAGAAGATCAGCCATGATCTTATTAAATAGCGGGGCAGGCTCGAGGGGCCGAATGGCCTACTCTGCTCCTATTTCTTGCGTTCTTATGTTCTTAAGTTAGCTACCCAGTCCCATGCTTGTTCCCTGTGTTCTATTATATTGTTCCTAGGTTTTATTCAATTGCAAAATGACCTTGTATGTCAGTAGATAACCTTCTGCCATTGCTGCCACTTTAATGTTCATCTGTCTGGATGTTGTAGAACTTATTAGTGACAATCAAAGGGCAATTGTGTTAGTGAGAGACGTGGATGTTTGATTTTTGTTCTCCTGCTGTGCTTTCAGGAACTAGGAGTCACAACAAACTCTAGCTACAAGATCACCTTCATGTTGGATAGTGCGGCAATGATCACAGTGCACACACCCAAGCGAGGAGTGGTGGAGGTAAGGAGGAGATATATCAACAGCTAAGGATGTGGAAGAATTATACATACTTAAGCTGATGAAGACTGACAGTTTTGCACATTTCCACTGAGGTATTTGGCATAAGTATGTGTGTTGGGCGGGGAGGGAGAGAAAGCTGGTGATAACTATCCATTGCTGTTGGTACTGTTCACTCACTTCATAACTCAGCAGATTGTATTTTATATTGTATCTATGCCCTAAAGTGTCGCATTTCTCTTCCTGCCACCAACCATTCCTCCCAATTTTCTTTCTTCCCTGAACTGTTGATGCATGTTGGTGTATGGCACTGAGTGCCCTCCAGTAAGCAGTCTTAATGTGAAAGCCCAGGTAGTAAATATCAACATGCTCTGATACTATGATGAGATGTTCTAGCCAAGTTCAAATCTATCCTCACCCATGTCTGTCCATACACACATGCACAGCAAACGCCACTAGATAATAATCAGTGTGCAAACTGGCTGATTTTTTTCTTCTCCTCCCTAGCCTTGGGTTGCTGAGGCCAATCCTAGCGCCCCTTTCGCTGCCCTGGTTGAGATCAGCAAACTCAGCACAGAGCGGGGACCTTCCTGGGCTGTGTGGCTCAGTTCCACGCTGACTGGTGGCTTTGCCAACTTGAGGGTAAGCCTCCCTCTTTTTCTTGCCATTCCCTGCACCATTCTTCAGGCCATGCACCTGATTCACTGTGGGGATGAGCAGCAGTGCTGTGGGGAAGCGCCTGCTCTCCTTTCACCACAGAAATTGGAACAGGAGCTGGTATGGTGGATGAGTGTGGGGGGTGTGTCTCCTTGGTACCAAAGCCTATTGACACTCCAGTAGACTAATCCAGCATGCTGTTGAAGCTCAGAGGCCTGACATTATATGTGGCCTCATCCTTAAAATTCATCTTAAAATGTAAGGTACAGAATTTTAGAAACTTCTTCAATCTAGATTTCATTTCGAAGCTGTTCTTCAAACCTGTAGTTCTTCAAAAGAACTGGCTTCAAATTCAAGACCGACTTTACTAATTTTCCACAATTTTGCATGATATTATACTTTAATAAAGAGAGCGGTCTTATAAGCTATAGACAGCAGAAGCTTTCCTGGTACATGCAGCTGTGTCCCATTATGTCAGTTTCTAAAATGAACATTTGTGAGCAATTTTCCTTTGTGCCTTTGAAAAATGGATTTGTGAAATGTTAATGCTGCAGTTTCTCTGGTCCCATGCACTGTCCTGTAGCTGATAGCAAGCAGCTGATCATCTGGACTGGTGCCATTTAATTGCCTTCCAGCTTCTCACAAAATTCATTTGCCCTCTACCAGGGAAACATTTCTCTCCCCTTTCCTCTCTCTCTCCCCCCCACCCAACACAAATAAGTATTGAATAAGAACTCTGAATACAAGATATCAGAGAACTATTTGATATATTGTCGGTGAGGTGAATCAGCCTGAACGTGACTGTGTGGTAATGCACAGTAGGGGGTAGTGGCTCCCACAGTGAAGAATATGTCAGTATAATCCTGGCTCTATGACAAATGAGTCCCAAATATGTCGTAACAGAGATTTACTGAGCCATTGTTAACGTGAATAATCCATTTGCTATGAGAATATGATCTTGGACATTAGAGGGGATACAGTGAAGGGCAACTAAATTGACTTTGTATGCACAGTGCAGTACTGTGATAGCATGGGTTTGGTTATAACCTGAGCCAATAGAAAAGCGGCTGCACCTTTCCCGCCACAACGACCCTCACCCGCTACAACCCACCACAAACGTAGTTTCTGGCCCAGGGGCTGCTCGCGCTGTTTACCTGACGTCACTTGGCAGAGCAGCTCCGGACAGGGCGGCACAAGCAGCAAATTATTGCTGTGATTGTCTGTGTGTGTGTCTATGTGAGTGTGTATGTGTCTTCTATATGTGTGTGTATATGAGTGTCTCTGTGCGAATGGGTGTCTCTCTGTGTGTGTGTATGTCTCTTTGGGTCTATGAGTGTGTGTGTATGTGTATGTGTCTTTCTGAGAATCAGTCTTTCTGTGTCTTAAGTGTGTGTCTCTCTGTGTCTTTGTATGTGTGTGTGTCTCTCTCTGTGTCTGTGAGTGTGTATGTCTCTTTCTATGTCTATGAATATGTCTCTCTTTGTGGCTCTGAGTGTGGTTGTCTCGCTTTGTGTCTCTGAGTGTGTCGCTCTCCCATTCTGTATGTGTGTTTCTCTCTGTGTATGTGAGTGTGTATGTCTCTTTGTGTCTGTGAGCGTGTGTACCTCTCTCTGTGTATGTATGTGTGCCTCTCTGTGTATGCATGTGTGCCTCTCTCTGTGTATGCATGTGTGCCTCTCTCTGTGTATGCATGTGTGCCTCTCTCTGTGTATGCATGTGTGCCTCTCTCTGTGTATGCATGTGTGCCTCTCTCTGTGTATGCATGTGTGCCTCTCTCTGTGTATGCATGTGTGCCTCTCTCTGTGTATGCATGTGTGCCTCTCTCTGTGTATGCATGTGTGCCTCTCTCTGTGTATGCATGTGTGCCTCTCTCTGTGTCTGTGAGTGTGTGTGCCTCTCTCTGTGTCTGTGAGTGTGTGCGCCTCTCTCTGTATGTATGTGTGCGTCTCTCTGTGTATGTATGTGTGCCAGCTGGCATTTGTCTTAAAGTGGCTGACTTTCAGATGATTCGGCCACCATTGATGTAGTTTTCTGCGCACATAAGCACACAAAGACCTGATGTCCCAAAATAATACCACAATAGCACGAGTACAATACATCAGTACAAAGTTGCATTTATATAACGCCTTTCATGTTGGATGTCCCAAGGCACTTGTCAGCTCTGGCTTGGCACCCAAGTTGGGGGTGGGAGCTGAGGGAGGTAGGGAGGGGAAAGATAACCAAAGGCGCAGTCAGAGGACATGAAGCAGGCTGGAGCCCACTGAGTGAAGGGAGCAGCCAGTTCAGTATGGTTTGAGGAGGTCACAGAGATGGACAGGACCAGACTGTGGATGGATTTCAAGGTGTGGATGGATTTCAAGGTGTGGATGGATTTCAAGTGTAGCTTAGGATGCCCATCACAAGACTAGTGCAGTAATTTGGAGAGAGCTAAAGGCTGGTTTCGTGTGTGTATTATTGGTGATTTCACAAAACTGGAAGCGGTAATCAGCCGCGACTGTTTAGAGCCTGATGTATAACACAGGTGGTATTTCCTGGAGTCCAACAACAATATTTGAGATTCCCTGAAATAATATAATCCTTGCGTTTGATATAGCACCTTATCACGTCTTCTAGCTGTCTCAAAATTGCTTCACAGAATATACTGTAAAGTGAATTGACTATATTTTGTGGGTGAAACGTGGCAGCCAATTATGTACAGCAGTGTCCCATAGACAGTGGTGGATTATGTATTATGATTGATATAGTCAACAGCTCTAGAACAAGGAGATACAGACTTGAGGTCATAATGTAATTATTTTACATAGTGTAGTGAATATGGGGAATATGAATATTTGGCAAGAACGTTGTTATAAGCAAATTCATGGAGAATTACATCACTGTTTCTCAAAGAACTTGAATGAGGAGCGTAAGAGGTACAGAATAGTGCAAAGGTATTTTTTATATACTTCGGTCCAGATTGATCACAATGGTCTTCCCAAGAATTGATGTTGTAGGAAAGTAACTTATAGAACTTCTTATTTACAGGTCAAACCACTAGGAGTGATCTGGGATAAATTTCCCGAGTTCTATACTAGGAAAAACACCATAATGTTTGACGACATTGGCCGGAACTTTCTCATGAATCCCCAGAACGGGCTAAAGGTAAGGACTATCCTCTGGAGCAGCAAGATATCAAAAAGAACAACTAAATCTTGCTTTATGGTTGTTTTCCAATATACATTATGTTTATTTTATATTTTTACATTGATTTATTTATTTGCAAAACAGTAAAATTTAATTATTAGGTAAATGTGTGTCTTTGTGTGTCCGCATGGCTCAGGTGGTAACACCGTCCCCTCTGATTCAGAAGGTTGTGGGTTCAAACCTCACATCAGATCTTGAAATTTCCATCCCACCTTTAAAAGAGCATCAAGGCTATTAAACTTGGAAAAGTGCCTGCAGTGCATTTTTAATGCATTATCAAATTAAAATTTAAAGAGTCTTCACTGTACAATGTTTTCTCTGCGTTTAGGACGGACGATTTACCACAATTCTGAATCTTTGAAAACATTATTTGATTGGACAAATACTTTGCGATTGGAATGTCCCTTTCTATGAAATATCTTGTTTGTTTTGGTGCATTTGTCGGGGGAAGTTTGTTGTGGGAGAGTTAATGTTTTTTTATTTAGTCTCTAATAAACAACTTACTACAGTCTTTTATTTTTATTATGATTTGTTTGCAGATAAGACCATTCATGAAGGCTCATCTGAATCGAGATAAAGACCGGGAGTTGCTGAAACTGTCCCAATATCTAAAGGAGATTGCAAAGTTAGATGATTTCACAGATCTCAATCATAAACACTGGGAAAAGTAAGAATTCTGTTCTTGGTATTTGACTGACCAATGCTAATGCGAGTATTTCTGTCCATGTACCTATTGTACAGTGCAAATGTGGTCAATGCATTTATGCCTTGAGCAGAAAACCTTATGCTGCAGTTTTCACCAGACGATTGGCACTGGATTTCTTTTTGCTGCATTTGTTATCATGTCCAGCAGGGAAATGATTCAGATCAGGAATCATTCATATATCGTTACTGATTGGACATTGTGTGTGTCTCCAATTCTTCCCCGTCCCAAATATAATGGAGTGGCTCTGGCTTAGCTGGTAATCCATGTCCACATTCCAGTGTGTGGCTGGGAACGAATCCCTCCACTGTCACCGATGTTGTTCTTTGGATGAGACATTAAACAGAAACTCGGTCTACTTGTTCAAGTAGTTGGTAAAGATCCCATTGTACTATTTGAAAAGGGAAGGGAGTTTCTCCCAATGTCCGAGCCAATAACTAATCCTCCAGCTAAATCGCCATTCACTACACGATTGTTTGAACTATCAAATTCAAGTATTAATAATAACCAATGTTATTTCTCACTAAAGGAAAAAAAATCACAGCCTTTGGCAGTGAGTTTCATCTTCTCATCACCCTCTATATGTAGAAGTTCTCCTTTTGATCTTCAATTCCTTGCCTTTGGTGTAGTGTCTTATCATATTGTCAATGTCTCAAAGCACTTCAAAAATTTACTGTAAGGTGTAGTAACTGCAGCACAACAACAACATGCACTTATATAGCGCCCTCCATACAGGGTAGTGGCTCAGAGCGCTTATTTATAGATGAACTATTTTGTAAATGAACACCACATTCGGTGTGCACAGAACAATAACCCACAAACAACCATGAAGTGAATGAAGTGGAGTCCTATAGCTTAGTAGTTAGAGCACTCGCTTTGCAAGTGAGAGACCTGAGTTCAATTCCAGGCAGAGGGCGAAACCTTGGGCAAGTTTCCTTACTCCACACAGAGCCTAATAATAATCCCTCCAAAACCAAAAACAATAATAAATTGGTCATTTTCAATCCATGACTGTTCGTGGGACATTGCTGTGCGCAATTGGCTGCTGTGTTCACCCACAAATATACAGTCAATTCACTTTACAGTATATTCTGTGAAGCGCTTTGCGACGTCCTCCCGACGTGAAAAGCGCTATATCAAATGCAAGGATTATTATTATTATTATGACTAATTTTCTCTCGGGGATTGTTGGTCAGGACATTTGGAGAAATTCCTTTCTATTTTTTCAAATATTATTACAGGATCTTTTAACACCCACCTAAACAGGCAGATTGGACCTTTATAATTACAACTCATTCAAAGAATGACATCCCTAACAATGCAGTGATCTGCCATGTAGTGGAGTCTCAACTCCACCATAGGGCTTGAATCCACAGTGTCCTGATCAAAGGAGAGGGTGTTACCATCTGAGCCAGGCTTGACGCTTGACATCATTTCATTGACATCACATCTGAATTTGAGAAAACAGAGAGAAGGGGAAAAAAAGACACATTGAAACGTTTAAGAGCAAATTTCATTTTGCATGGGTGCTTGAAATTTAATCCTGTAACATAATCTGTGAATTCAGATGGAGTTTCTGAAAACGCTCAACTATTGTGGTTTGTGGATACGGTTATCAGAAGCTGTGAGCAGAGCTAAAGGGGTTTAATGGTGGCATCTGAACCCTGGGATTAGGTTGATCACTCTCAGGCGTCTAGTATTCCGAAGATCAGCTGTTTTAAATGTATCTTGGGATTGACTCTGGAACATTTTTGTGCTTCATTGTTTGTGAATGCTTTACATACATTTTGTACGGTATAGATACTGTGAGCTGTCAGAGTTACTGTCTGTTTAATATCCATAGCTTCACTGTATTTAATGGACACATGGGTTTTAAGCCCAGTCCTAGTAGACGTTTTCCTTTTTGCCTTTGTTGCTCCAAGACTCTGTCCTGTGTGAAGGGCACTATATAAATTCAAGTTGTTGTTGAGCTGAAGATGAGAAATTGTTCCTATGTTTATAATTAAAACTGCAAGAAAATTGCGGGCCACGATTTGTGGCAGAAACCACAACTTTTTACAGTTGCTGCAACTTTTAATGAGTGAAGTGAGTACCTGTCCCACCATCAATCTATCCCGCGCTCTCATCCTACTGAAGGTGGATGATCCATGAGAGTGCAGGATGGTTAATGGACAGGGGGACAGTCCAACGGGAGTATGGTGCAGGTTGATGGACAGGTAAATAGGCCAATGTGAGCATATACTCACTGTCGGCAAATGTTCCTACACATGTGGCCAGGACTAGGAATCAGAAGTTATCAGTACCATGTACCCCAATGTACCCCTCCTAGCTGTTTGATTGTTAGGGAGGGGGACATCACGGCTGCTTTGCTTGCCTGCAAATCCAGTCAGTAGACTTGACATTAATTGCTTTGTGAAGTTCTTTGAGACATTTCAGTGTGCTAGGTGCTATAACAAAGTTATTTTTGTTTCATTTTGTCTTTCTGTACTTCAGGTAATGTTTAAATGTAAATATTGTTTCTGTATAAATGCAACGATTGTACAATAGAATGTCGCATGTCCACACACAGACTATCTGCATGTTGGTTTATGCACATCAGAGTCAGGTGCATAAGTGAGAGTTGGGGCAAAAGAATTGCCCACAAGGTTCCTGAATATGCAATGTGGCTCCACAACGTGGCTGACCTGTAATGCAGAGTAAGTGATTTGTTAAGCAGTGTTTTTACAGGTACAGTGTATGGTATAGTCCAGGAGAGAGTGAGAGACTCGGAGAGAGAAAGTGAGAGAGAGAGGCATACACAGAAAGAAAGAGGAAAACCCGACAGACTGAGGTAAAAGAGAATCAGATAGAGAAGGCTGTGGCACAATGTGGTACCATAGTGACAGAATAATTCCCATGTTGCCATGAACTTAGTGGTTGAATAAGTTCAGCAGGCCAAATAGCTCCTGTTTGATTCCTGTTTCTATGTTCCTATCTATTTCATCATCTAATAACCCTGAATCATTTTAACTTCCAGGACTTGTCTGCTTTTTTATAGTAGAGAATATAACTTATTTCTCTCTTTAACTACCCATTTTTCTAGGTATCTCTCAAAGAAGCAAGGGCAGTGAGGAGCAAAACAAGTGTGGATCTTTTTGATGTAGGTCCACGCCCAATTTGGAAGTACATGGGGACATTTTAACTGTGATTGAACAAGGGACAAGTGCTGAGCACTGCAACAATCAGAAACGCCAAAGGGACTTAACTGACATGCACATGCTACCTGCCACCTCACCTCTCCGCAGTCTTCGGCACTACGAGTCCTTCAGTGAAGACAGCAAATAGAACATAGGACAGACACCTTGTGCTTCAGCAAATTCCTTTCATACTGTGTGCATTCTTCAATGTTACCATTTATCTATCGGATGTCTAAATAAAGCTCCACTGCCTTTTAGTAAAACTGGCTTGAAAACACAAGTATGTCAATCAAATTCAGGTTCTGCTCACGTAACAGTAAATTGCTTTGTTTCTCGCCCCCCTCTCCAAGTTACGTCCCAACAGTTATGTAAAGCAGAGCGTTCCTAAGTGAGTTTTGATTTTATTTATTGGCTTGCCTCTGAGTGGAATCATTATGAACCAGTGATATCTATGGATATCCATACTATCCTCAATATCTGTGGATATGTAGTGCATTCATTGGCCAATGCGACCAGGTCGCGGAGCCCTCCTGCTTTCAGCCAGAGTTCAGACTGTTTGAGAACCTTCCTCGTTTTGGTGCAGCTATTTCCCATTGATGCCTTTTGAAAGACCAGGATCAGACCTGGATTTACAGGTATAGCAGCAGCACACCTTGAGCCCAGAGGATACACTGCCTCGTATTCCTGTGGATTGCTCATCCGCACTGCTTCTAACCATCCGTTACCTTTGATGATGTTATTGGTTACTGTTACTGCAATGCAGACTGCGAGGGTACTTCATATTAAATAACCACAGGAGTCCGAATTGGCACATCCTGACCCTGATCTGCTCGATGTTAGCCTGACATCGGTCCTGTTGGTTTATTATTTATAATCTAACCTTTTAAAAAGATAAGAAATCTGTGCAAGTGAGCAGCCAGACAATTGGTGAGTGAACAGCTGTGTAGTTTCCTCTGCCGCTCTCCCCATGCAAACAGTAGAACTGAACAATGATGTGTGTTGTAGTTAGAGGCTACCTTGTTGAGAAATGAATAAGAGGTCCAATAACCTGTTTACCATTCAGCCAGTCAGTCTAAAAGAACACAAATGCCCAACTTGATGGTTTGTGTTGGCTTCTCCACATTCTCGGCTTTCATGTATTACTAGTGTGTGTGCTTATTTCCATTCATTAAAAACATAAAGCAGACATTCCAGGTTGAATTCTGTACCACAAACTTGATTCTCAATGGAACATATCAAAGGTGTAAATATTAAATAAAATAACCTGCTGAGGTTCTTTGATCCAAAAGTGGCTTTTTAATGGCTCTTTATAAACCCAACTGACTGGACAACTTGGATATTTTTGACAGCAGTAGAAATTGAGAACAGGATTCTCACCAGAGAGAGAGGACAATTAGGAATGTGTGTTTAATGAGATGAAGAGAAATGCATTTGGCAAACATTTGGCTGGCAGTTTCTCATGTGCCCCACATGTACAATACTTGCTGCTTGTTCATTGTCAATGTTTTTCCTTTTATTGAACTTCAATATATATGTTCTGTGTACACTAACTACTTAGCCGCCAACTTGCTTTGCCTCCTCTCACCTCAACCCTGATGGTTTGTCCTTGAATGGTTCAGATCGTACCTCTCTCTACCATCTCATGTCCAGAAACGGCTTCTTCTCTAATCCCGCATTGTGTCGTGTGGCGTTCCTCACGGCTCTGTCCTTGTTCCCGTCCTCTTCAGTATCTATATGCTCCCGCTTAGTGACATCATCCACAGACCTGGGGTCAACTTCCACCTGTATGCAGATGACACCCAACTGTACCTCTCTGCCTCCATCCTCGACTCCGCGATCACTGCTGTCCTGACAGAATGTCTGTCAGACATCGAGTCCTGGATGAGAGCTAACTTTCTACAATTGAATGTCAACAAGACAGAGGCTCTCCTGATTGGCTTCCGTCAGCGCCTCCACGCCTCAGGCGCTGACAGCATCACCATCCATGGATGCACACTCCACCTTATGCACAGGGAAACTACTGTGCGCAATTGGCTGCCACATTTCGCCCACAAAATAGACAATATTTGGAAATATTTACTTGGAAATCAACTTGTTGGGAGTTGGGGTCCTTCCTTTCTGCTAATTCAAAGGAAATTCCTGTCACATTATTGTAATCAAAGTATATTCAATTATTTCAAATTTGGGGGAAAGATTAAATTGGATCATTTGCCAATTGCCAAAGCAATAGCTCCACTGAACAGTGAGAATCTGAGATAAGAACAGAAAATTTTTACTTTATGTTTAAAATTATGTTTTAAACATGTACTTACAATGATTTAATACACAACAGAAGGGGGAAGGTGAGGGGTGTTGAGCCATGTGGATGGTAAGATTAATATTTTGACCCGTGCTGAGTCAGCTTTTGTGGTACAGGATAGAGAAAGGGAAGAAACAGGTGAGACAGAATTTACACGCCTGATCAACGTCCACTTTCCTGCTGTAAAGCACCTGGGAGGAAGTAAGAAGGCTTTCAGAAATATACAGTTTCATAGCTGAACTGTGATAGAGTGGGGAACCCGATTTGTGAAATTAAATTGCCTTTTCCAAAAGAAACACCAGATGGCAGTCAATGCAAGTGACTGGGTTTCAGCCACTTGTTTCACAACGAGTCTAAACAGGGTGCAGAGGAGATTCCAGAGGATGATGATGAACCTTGCATTTGAAATAATACTTTATCACCTCATCGAAAGATCTCAAAGCGCTTCACAGAACGTACTGTGAAGTGTAGTGACTGCGTAATTTTGGAGGTGAACGGATAAAGTGGATGAAAAAAATTTTATGAAGTGAGAAGAGAGAAACGGGCTATTTTTAGTGGAGAAGATTTTTTTTTGTCAGCCTGGTGTCTGACACGTGCAAAAACCCATCATCGTGCTTAAGACTATTCAAACCAAACTGATAATTCCATGCATCCCACCTACACATGAGAGATTCCAGAGATAGATTGTTGGATTGCACACTGCTTACTTAATTCCGAAAAGTATTCGGCGCGGGCTGGCTGAGCTAAAACTTGGGAAGCCAGGTGTGTGTGTTGGGGTACTGCTGGAGTTTAACCAGCTAAAACAGCATAGCTTGCCATTGATAGCTCTATATGGCAAGCTTTCCCGCTGCTTGTCCAGCTAGGACCACCCTACCCTTTCAGGATTTGGCTTGCAGGAGCTGAGTGGGATGACTCCTTGACCCCAGTGACTGGTCTGCCCTTCTAGATGCTGCAGATGAGCCAGGCTGGCTGTGCTGCCATTAGCAGTGCCCTGGGATACTGCGGACCCTCCTGACTCAGGAACCGGACTACTGAGACCGCTACAGAGGGCTGGCTCGATTCCAATATTCCGTTGCCAGGCATGTCATCTGGCAACCAGTTCAGCTCTAAGGAGACTACCTTTACCTCCCCCACCAAGGAGGATAGTCACTCGTTGGTTGTTTGACATCTGACAAATGTGGGTTTGAGCCCTCACTGGGTGGATGGTATGTATCAAGAACTCTCTGTGAACTTCTGCAAGAGCATTTGATTGGAGAGGAGATTGAGAGGAGGTGTTCAAATATTTTTTATATAAAATACATAGGGAGAAACTATTTCCATGATAATTAGGAGAGTTCATTTTATACAGAAGGTAATTAGGTTATGGTGATTGAAGCAGAATCCATGATAGGTTTTAAAGGTCAACTGAACAATTATTTGTAAAAGAATATTATATAGGGAATGGGACTAAACCATCAGGTCTTCATAGCACGGACAGAGTGCTATACAATACAAATTTACATTCATATAGTGCCTCCAACGTCAGGAGGATGTCCCAAGCTGCTGGACAGTCCAGAATTTGCACCCGAGGTGGAGGACAGAGCTGAGGTGGAGAAATATGCCCAAAAATGTAGTCAAAGAGGAATATCTTGAGGCAGACCGTGAGGGAAGTGGTGAGTCCACAAAAGAGATTCCGCAATGGGGGCAAAGAGGCTGAAAACAACAACAAGATTACATTTGTATAGCACCTTTCACGTCGGGAGGACGTCCCAAGGCGCTGGAAAACCCTAAGCATCCGATGGCAGGGTAGGTGGGGTGCATGAAACAGGCCTGTGCCTGCCAAGTGGAGGGAGTGGCTGGGTTGGAAGGATTTGAGGAGGTCACAGAGATAAGGTGAGGCAAGATCATGGAGAGATTTAAAAGTAAGGTTGAGGATCTTGAGTACCAGAGTAGACTCAATTCAAAGTCTACAGGGCCTTGAACCCATAACCTTCTGACTCAGTGGCAGTACTACCAATTGAGTCAGGCTGACATTCAAGAAGACAATATGCACTTTCTCCTACTCTTACCTCCCTCGATCATACCTTCCTCCTACAGTCTACAGTTAGGTGTGGTATCACCTAACCACAGCTTCTTATATCACCTCTTTCTGCTCAGCTTCTCTCAGCTGGAGTCCTGTAGCTCAGTGGTTAGAGCACTCGCTTTGCAAGCGAGAGACCTGAGTTCAATTCCAGGCAGAGGGCGATACCTTGGGCAAGTTTCCTTACTCCACACAGAGCCTGATAATAATCCCTCCAAAACCAAAAACAATAATAAATTGGTCATTTTCAATCCACGACTGTTTATGGGACATTGCTGTGCGCAATTGGCTGCTGCGTTCGCCCACAAATATACAGTCAATTCACTTTACAGTCTATTCTGTGAAGCGCTTTGGGACGTCCTCCCGACGTGAAAAGCGCTATATCAAATGCAAGGATTATTATTATATTATTATAGCTGGTGGTGCTCTCACTACTGGGTCAGTAGGTTGTGGGTTCAAGCTGTACATCAGGACTTGAGCTCACAGTTTAAATGATACTCTAGACCAATCTATCCCCAATCACATGTGCAATAAACAAACAAACAAACAAACAAACAAACAAACAAACAAACAAACAAACAAACGTTGGATCAAATACCAATAGGCTAAACTTAATATATAAGGTTAGCTCTTAGTTCCATTAAATCAAAGGTAGATAGGATACCAAATAGACATTAGTGAGTATAAATTAGACAACATGCAATGGCAATATAGTATTCTGAGTTCACTAGAATGAGTTCAAAGGATCCTGAGAACATAACCCTTTTGAAACTGATTTCCTCTGATCTTAATTTTGGGTGAGAGATTCAAAATTGCCCATTGTGTTGATGATTGATGTATTTGCTCAGATGAATGCTCCTGGCTATTGAAATGATACCTTCTGCACAAATTGAAGGGGATAAGAAATAAACACAACTCCACTTTACCAGTCACCTGATAAGGCAAATTAAAGGCTTTGTGTTTAATCAGACATGTGGAGTTACACAATCCGTGACAAATAATGAGTATAACATTTCAGGAGCTGTATTTTTATCATCTAATTATGGAAGGCTACACAAAAAACCTGCCAAGTTGTCATAAAGTGCACAGTGTAATCTGAGCATTGAAAGTAATAAAAAAAATCAAGTAGAGGAAAGTAGCAGGGAGTATATCAGTTAGACAATGGTTTACAGTAAGGTTGGTACAAGCCACACATCAAAATGTTTGTTCCTAATCTATGCTCACATTCCAGTGCAGAACTGGGGGAGCGTTGTGTTGGGAATGCTGCTTTGTTATGCCAGTTTCAAGTGGACAGTATTTGAAAGCAGGAGGGATTTTCCTGCTCAGCAAACCTCCAAACGAAATGATCACTGCATTAATAATAATCCTAGCATTTGATATAGCGCTTTTCATGTCAGGAGGACATCCCAAAGCGCTTCACAGAACACACTGTAAAGTGAATTGACTGTATATTTGTGGGCGAACGCGGCAGCCAATTGCGTACAGCAATGTCCCACAATCAGTCGTTGATTGAAAATGACCAATTTATTATTGTTTTTGGTTTTCGAGGGATTATTATTAGGCTCTGTGTGGAGTAAGGAAACTTGCCCAAGGTTTCGCCCTCTGCCTGGAATTGAACTCAGGTCTCTCACTTGCAAAGCGAGTGCTCTAACCACTGAGCTACAGGACTCCACAGAGTCCTGCACTCCATGGCAGATTATCGGGCTCTGTTTTGCACTAATTGGATATCATGATTGCCTACACAGACAGAGTGAGAACAGTAGTACTCGAGGCAGGTTTTTCAGATATTTTGATGTTGTATATGGTACATCAGATGCAAGTATTATTACTAAATATACAAAGAATTGAGTAAATGGGCAAAAAAAGAGAATTTATCTACAAATATATCTACAAAATAGTCAGTAATTGATGTGAAATGCTTGTTGTAAATGAGACCTTCTTTCTAATTTGCGATATTGGCAGCTGGGTGAAAGCACTAATTGCTATTTGCATTTCACCCTTTCATTTGCAATCTTTGCAAAACATCTGAATACAAGTTGGGCACGTTGCACCAAAAAAACAAGTGTACAGTCCTGTAAATTAGACCTGCTCTAATTGTTACAAGTATAGTTATTGATAATCAATAATACAACAAGAATGATCACTGAAATTGTTAACCTCATTTGAATTAAATCTTTGTTGGCATCTTCACACTTGAGCTTGATCACCTCACCCTATGCATTAGAAACTGAGAGGTATTGACTGCATTTCATTAAATCTTCTATTTTCAAAAATTAATTCAAATGCTTAAGATTGGAATTGACTGGGAGTTACAAAGAGAAAACTTGTGTATCTCTGTGTAGTCATTCTTTTGTGGCATTTCAGGTGTTTTTATTGATCTCTTCCTGTTAACTATCACTCTGTGAATCAATGGCTGGGAGTTGCTCACACTATAATAATAATAATAATAATAATCCTTGCATTGGATATAGCGCTTTTCACGTCGGGAGGACGTCCCAAAGCGCTTCACAGAACACACTGTAAAGTGAATTGACTGTATATTTGTGGGCGAACACGGCAGCCAATTGCGCACAGCAATGTCCCACAGTCGTAGATTGAAAATGACCAATTTATTATTGTTTTTGGTTTTTTTGGAGGGATTATTATTAGGTGTGTGGAGGAAGGAAACTTGCCCAAGGTTTCGCCCTCTGCCTGGAATTGAACCCAGGTCACTCGCTTGCAAAGCGAGTGCTTTAACCACTGAGCTACAGGACTCCACACTGAAGGTAGCCATGTGTAAAGTAGCCTCAGTCATTTCTCATCAGTTACTTCAGTGAAGACTGGGGAAATGTCACTTCAAAAGGGACAGACACACAAGAGCTTGGGGAGGTTTTTCTTGAGAAATGTTCTAATGTGAGCCGAGAGATTTTGTGACTGAGAAGCGTGAAAGAGGATGCTTATATACCAGATTGACGTTTACAGTCGATTGACTATTCCGGCTTGTGCAACTATTGGTGAACGGGGTTCATTCTGGAATAATGACAGAGAGAATGTAAACACACTGCCTTGGGGAAGCCAAGCTTAGCTCATTCGGCTATGGCATTACTTAGGTTCTTGTGAGTTAGGCAGAATCTTTGTAACTCTTACCTGTGGGATTATCTATGATGTCTACAGAAAAATATTTTCCAAGAGATCTCCCCTCCCCCCGAGAAACATTTACAGTAGTTATATTCTGAAGATCAAATAGCAGGCAGCAGGAGGTATATTATCATCAATTTTCTCCCACCTTGTTGACTTATGCTGGAGTACAGTTGCATGGTGCTGGCAATAGGGAGTCAGTGGAGCCTGGCTGGAACTGGTGTGTTGGGGCTACAGAATTAACAGCGAGACAAGCGGGCACGTGATCAGGTGTGTGAAGGACATTTAGGACAGAAACCAGGAACTGATCATTCCCACATAAGCTGATTAATAACTGGAAGAGGTAATCAGGGAGAGCAGTGAGAGCCAGAATTGGACTCATTTAAGAAATAGGGTCATGGTGTAATGGGAAGATGGGTTTTCTGGAAAGATATCAAACGTATCAAAAAGTCTTCTTCACCCAATGTTTTCTTGTGCATTTTAAAAAGTGGTCGTCCCAAGAGACAGTTGTACTGTCCAATTGATCTAGAACCTTCCAGAAAGTAAACACATTCATGCAAAATCCAAAACATAGACCAACAGACCATATGAGATCACGCAATAGCTGCCAAGCAAGACTTTAATAAAGTTCCTTTCAATCAGACAATAAAAATACAGATGGCGTGACTGACATGTCACTTGTTGTAAATTCAAACCACACTGACCCCCACAGATGACTCTGTTCTGAGCTGCAGCAATCTGGAGAAAACAGAATTAATGTAACCTTAAACAGTGAATTAAACTGATGGAATCAATCAGCGTGTCAGTGTAACTTGTACTAGATGGGAGCTGACAGACAATTGATTAACATCGCAAATTATCCAAATGTAATAAGGGAAAATGCTGAACAAGACGTAAATACATCAACAAATCTGGAATAAATATCTCTGTTCAGCATGCACTAACAGAGATCATAAACCACATGCGGAGGTGTCGTAGTTTGGTACTTGTCCAAAAAGGACAAGTCCATTAAGATTTTGGCAAGATGTCCACTCCTGCAAGTCTCATTGACGATTTAGTCAGGATGTTCAACAGTGCTATGGATTGCTGTTTCCTCAGAGCCAGTTCTGTTCCAGAGAGATCTCACCTACCACCCATTTTATTAAAACAAGTCCATACACATCTGCAGAGTACCATCAGAATCACAAAGGAGTTCAAACCAGAAGACCAATTTAAATCAAAAGACCCAGGATAATGAAATTATAAAGCTTAGAATCCTATTCCTTCTAAAGGAATTTATATTTAGCAAATTCTACATCTATATTTTCCATTCCATCCTCTTTATCCTACTTCCCCTGTACCTTTCTGATTTTTTGCCTCATACCAAAAGCAAAATTGAAAACATTGTTGCTGCCTCTACTTACTTACTTGTACTGCCAGGTGGCGATGTTGGTAGACAGAAAGCAGAACACCTCTCCTATGCGAGAACAAAATAATCCAGGCCAAGCCAATGCTGTGACCTTGGTCTAGAATGACTGTAGAGTAACCCTGGATCTCAAGACTTTTCCAGATAAGCTGGGAATAGGAAAGGAAGGAAGGAAATATCTGAAAGCACTTTGTATCAATTGACTGCCAAGTGTAGGCAGATGTAATAATCATAGAATCATACAGCGCAGAAGGAGGCCATTCGGCCCATTGTGTCTTGTGCTGGTTCTTTGAAAAGAGCTACCCAAATCCCATTCCCCTGCTCTCTCCCCATAGCCCTGCAAACTTGGTCTCCCCAAATAATAATAGTGCCTTTCATATCATGAAGGTGTTTCAAAGCGCTTCACAAGATTTACTGTAAAGTGCACTGAGTGTAAGTGCATCTGGTCGGCAAATGCGGTAGCAACTTGTGCACCACAATGTCCCACAAACCTTCATGAAGTGAACAACTAACTTCATCTGGGGACTGTTGGCTATGATATCAGGAGAACCCTCGAGTTGAGTGTGAGCAGAGACTCTGAGCTTGAAATCCCAATGTAGGGACTTGAACTACAAGCTTCTGACTCAAGTGTTACCAACTGAACCAGGCTGGGATGCAAGATAATAATAATCCGTGCATATGATATAGCTACCTGCGTGCACAGAACCAAACAGTGGGAAGTTGGGGATTGTACAAAAAGTAAAAACAGCAGCTGCACTAATTTTGCTCAATGCCTGAACTTTAGAATCCTGAGAGTGTATGCGGCACAGTAATAGTGCTCTAAACACTACAATATACTACGACTTGACCACAGCCACCTGGCCTTCAGTCCTATTGGTAATTAACATAGAAACAAAATACTTCAACCCAGAAGAAATCATTCAGCCCATTGAGTCTGTGCCACTGCTACTTGTTTTTCTAAGTCACTCTTGAAACCCATTAATTCACCCATGATACAAAAAAAAAGATGAATAGTCCAAGTAGATTTGTTTCTGAGATGCATTTCAAGTCGGATTCATTCAGTTTTCACCACGGCGGAGATGTCTCTAACAGGAGAAAACTTTCAGATGCTCAGAAACATGAGCTTAGCTGTTCGATAATGTGAGCATTGACGGATGCACATCACAAATGTCGACCCACTGCTCAGCCACTCTCCTCCTGGGATGTAAACCATTCTGTGGCAACTCAGGCTTTAGATGTCGGTCGGTTTTATCCGCCACCTTCCAAAAATATTTGTCCTTGATGAAGAAGATGGCCCTGTGAGTGTAAGAGTAATAGACGGCATTGATATTCCCAATGGGATGATCGTTGGCATCTACTGGTGGAAAAACCTCAATGATCTTTTTCGGATATCCACTGATTTTTCGGTTCAGTTCCACGCTGAAAGCAGTCACCTGTAGAAAGGGAGAAGTTTTTTAAATGGATAAGAAACATAGAATGCTCACCGATGTTGGAATCACTACCTTGTTCCTCTGAAGCTTTGGTGAGCATAAAGTACTTTTCCCTGCCTCATCAGACACACGTTTTCTCTGCTCTGTGCTATGGTTTCACAAACAACAACAACAACATGCACCTTTCGTGTCAGAAGGATGTCCCAAAGTGCTGGGCAGTTAAGGGTTTGCACCCGAGCTTGGGGTTGGAATCAAGAGAGGTGGAGGGTATTCACAATACATGAATATTATTAGATTTGAAGTACTTACGTCAAACCCCGGCAAACCTCTGTTACTGTACTCAAAATGCAAGCTTACGAGTGGGCTCGAATTTGTGATATTTCTAAACCAGATTTGCTGTGTGATTGCAACTTCTGATTTGCAATTATCGGAAGCCATTTGATTGATTTGAAATTAGCAATATGGTTCACAGAATCTTACAGCTCAGAATAAGGTCACTCAGCTCATCATGCCTGTCCTAGCTCTCTGAAAGAGCTATCTATTTAGTCTGACCACCTCCCTACATTTCCCATATCCTTTTATAGTTTTTTCTTTTCAAATATTTATTCAATTCCCTTATAAAAGCTATTATCTGTGTCAACCATCAATTTTGGTAAGACGTCCCATGTCCCAATAATCCTCTGTGTGTAAAACAAATTCTCCTCTGCTCTCCCTTTCTTATTTTGGTCACAATCTTAAACCATCTCTACTTAATCCTGAATCCCACAAGGCAACAAAGAGTATGCAATATGCCAACGAATAAAAGCTAATATTTGCATTTGATAGAGAGCTTGAAAACCCGCAAAGCAGATTGCACTACTCTGAAGAGTGGCTTTTACTATGTAGGCAGACACAGCAATGCCAGAAAAATCCAACACACTCAGCAGTAAGATGAATGGCTAATAAAACTGTTATTTAGTAATGAGTGTGAGGATATTGGTCAGAACACTTCTAAATAGTGCATGGGACCTTTGACATTCACCTGAATCTTGACACCAGATGGAAGTTCAACTGCACATCTCATCCGAAGGATGGCGCACACATCCAACAATGTAACACAACAACAAAATTACATTTGTATAGCGTCTTTCACGTCAGGAGGATGTCCCAAGCTGCTGGACAGACAGAGTTTCAGACCTGCTTTGGGGGTTGAGATCGAGGAGGGTGGGGTGGGAAGCAGGATGATCGAAAGCACGGTCAAAGAGGAGGGCTTGAGATGGGTCTTGAAGGAGGCAAGGGAGAGGGCAAGGCAGAGGAACTGCAGGATGGAGTGGGGGCAGACTGGCAGAAGGCCCACCTGCCAGCAGTGGGGTGAGCGAGGCCAGGGACATGAAGCAGGCCAGAGCTCCCTGAGCGGAGGGAGCGAGCAGGATGGTAGGGGGTTAGGAGGTCGCTGAGATAGGGGGAGCATGGCCATGGAAACTTCATAGAATCATACAGCACAAAAAGAGGACATTCGGCCCATCGAGTCTGTGCCGGCTCTTTAATAAGAGCAATGTAATGTCAACCACACTCAGGGATTGGTAACACAGTTACCAATTGAGCCAATCAATAGGAATAATTCCTTGCATTTGGTCTTTGTATTGCGTCTTTCATTTCAGAAGGATGTCCCAAAGCGCTTCGCAACACAGCATTATCTTAAGACTATATGAGTTCCACATGCCGACACGGGGCTTGATCCTACAACCTTCCGACTTAGACCACTTCCGACCACTTAGTGGTTAGAGTGCTCGCCTTGCAAGCAAGAGGAGCTGGTTTCATTCCAGGCAGGGTGAAATGTGGGGCAAGTTTGCTTACTCCACACACCTCTCTTTACCTATCAGTAAGTAGGAACCCAGCAGCAAGTGGAGTCCTGTAGCTCAGTGGTTAGAGCACTCGCTTTGCAAGTGAGAGACCTGAGTTCAATTCCAGGCAGAGGGCGAAACCTTGGGCAAGTTTCCTTACTCCACACGCCTAATAATAATCCCTCCAAAACCAAAAACAATAATAAATTGGTCATTTTCAATCCATACGACTGTTTGTGGGACATTGCTGTGCGCAATTGGCTGCCGCGTTCGCCCACAAATATACAGTCAATTCACTTTACAGTGTATTCTGTGAAGCGCTTTGGGACGTCCTCCTGACGTGAAAAGCGCTATATCAAATGCAAGGATTATTATTATTATTATTATTGCTGGCCCGCTTTTCCAGGGGTAATAATCCCTTCAAAAAATAAATAATAATAATAATCTGATCACTCAGTCCACGACTGTTTGTGGGACACTGCTGTGCATAATTGGCTGCCATGTTTCGCCCACAAAATATACAGTCAATTCACTTTACAGTATATTCTGTGAAGTGCTTTGAGACATCTCAAAGATGTGATAAGGCATTGTATCAAATGCAAGGATTATTATCAAACTTGCCACTGTCAAGCACCTGTGTAAAGAGTACTGTATAAATGTAAGTTGTTGAAGCTCATCTGCCTGTACAAATGGTCATTGAACAACCCATCACACTATCAAAAAGAAAGTTTCTCCTGGCCAACAATCCTCCAGATTAATTAATGATTAACGTTCTGTCTGTTTGCAAGACATTGTTATGCACAAATTGGCTGCCACATTTTTCTACAAATACATGTCAGTGCACTTAACAGTAACTGCTGAAAAGCACCTTGAGGCACTTCCATTTGATGGGCACTTATATCAAATGAAAGACTTGCTATTATCTAACATATGAAATGCCAAGTTGCAACAAGAATTTGCATTTATATCGCACCCCTCACACAGGGTAGGGTCCCAGAGCGCTTTTTGCAGCTACAACTGATGTGTACCGTATAGATGCCGTACAAATGATGATTTAGCCCACCTGATCGCCCCTGAAGAAATAAATGTTATTGTCCCTTCTGTCAAAATAGGCTGTGTCCATGGGACTGGGAGCACCAGGAAAACCATCCCTGATGAGCTTGGGATATCTGCTGCCTTGTACATCTTCAGTGAAACCCATATCCCGGTTGGAATCATATCGCCAATACTGAGTCCCTTCAAAAGAGAATCACAGGATCTGAGAATATTTCACAGCACAAATCCATTCATCCATCAGATCTGTGCTTATGCTTTTCCTCCACATCAGTCACCTATTCCACCTCACACTCTACACATTCCTTCTCTTCAGCATCTATCTAATTCTGTTTTAAACATTTTCCTCATGGGTAAAGCCTAGAGAGTTAGTATTTAACCATGGAGAGCATTATATCCATGCCTGATCAAGGTCGTCTCAATAAATGCTCAGCATAGATTAGCAATCAGGCATCACATGTCTAGATCAGCACAGATCACAGTGGCAGATTGAGTTAAACTTGGGCAAAGACTTGTATAAAGAGGGAATTAAAAATGGCCTTAATTATGTAGTTAGCACCTGCCTATCTCTCTTATCTTTACCCCACTGCTCTCTCCGTTCCCAGGGAGAACATGGGCTTGCTGCAGTTCTCATTATCAGCAGTTGAGCCTTTCGATATTATGCCCTAAGGTCTGGAACTCCCTCCCTCTACCCCTCAGTCTTGCTTCTCTTTATGTGTCTTAAAAACTAATTATTTGAATGTAACTATGGTCACTTCCCCTGGTTACCAAATCCCAATGTTTCTCAGGACTTCAAGACTGTGAGGCTGCAAGACTTCACTTATCTCAGGTTCCACTTCCTCCTATAATCGATATGCTTTAAACCCAACCCCCAACTATCGATTCTGGTCTATTTCAGCTCCTCTCCTGCTGTTTTGACCCTTTCTGGTGTCTTGGGTCTCGGCCTTTTCACTGAATGTTAAAGTAATTGTATTTTTGTACCTTTGAAGAAGTACTGCACATTTCTGTTCCAAGTCCAGATGTGGACGAAGGCCTCAATATCTGTTGTGGGAAGGTTATGCCATCCACTGCTAATAGGCAGTGGATCCCCGTAGCGTGTTCGCTTGCTTTTATTTTCGTACATCCAGTACCAGCTACTTCTGAAGAAGTATGTATTGAACTGATACCTAACAACACCAGCGATTAAGCGCTTATGGACCCAGTCAAACACTGTACTGAATCCTCCCTCACAAATGCCTGTGAAGTAAAGAAGAACAGCACGTTATATTGTAGAGGGTTTCACACCACTGAGCTCAACACCGCTATATTTTTTTCTGCTAATTTTCTCTTATATTCTTCCCTTCTTGCCTGAAGTGATTGGATTCCTTTTTCCCTTCTACTGGATTGCATTGGTCACCCTTTGCTACCTTGCCCAAGTGGCCACTGTTTGTGTGCGAACCTTGGCAGTGAGTGTTGGCAGCTTCACAATATTGGAATAAAAACTCAATGCAACTGTCTCTATTTCTAACCCATTCTCCAAGCACTCCAACCTTGGATATTAGGTTCTAGCTCTTGCGGTTGTTTGGTCAAGGCTTCTCCCCCATTATATTAACTGTTGGTGTTCGCAATCAGTGAATGAGACCTCAGTGTCTAAGGAGAAATGTGGAAATGAGTTAGAGTAAGAGATACTTACCATATATCTCCTGCATAGACTTTCTGTCGAACCAATCCAGCTCAAAGTATCTGTCATGCGGGATGTAATTTGGCTGCATCACAGAGGCTGATCGGTAGATGTGAGGCAAGCCCAGAGCATGACCGATTTCATGAACAGCAACCTTCAACACAGGAGGCAAAGAAAGTGTCTGTAAACCCAATTCAGCACAAAAAGGTTTGAAGCTAACTTCTATGTTTGTTACATTACAGTTGCATCATGAAAACTAACTAAGGTATCAGAACAGGGTTTACAACAACAACAACCAGCATTGTAATGTTACTCGCGCAGGAAAGTGTCCCAGAGCGCTTGACAGTGACGGAACACAAAAACAAATTATATTTGTATAGTGCCTTTCACGTCGGGAGAATATTCCAAGGCGCTGGAACCGGGGTTAAGGGGGGAGGTGACCGAAGGCACGGTCAAAGAGGAAGATCTTCAGGAGCAACCTGAAAATGAGGAAGGAGGGGACAAGGCAGAGGGATAAAGGAAGAGTTCCAGAGTTTTGGGCCATAGTGGCTGAAAGTGCAGCTACTGACGGTGGAACGGAGGAAACAAGGGACATGCAGCAGGCCAGAGCCAGGTGAGTGGAGGCAGTGGGTTGGTGAGTAAGCAGGTCGGAGAGGTAGGGATGTGCCAGGTCATGAAGGGATTTGAAGACGGTGTGACGATCTTGAAATCGATCCGTTCGGCGTCAGTGGAGCCTCGTTAGAACTGCTGTGATGCGGGTGTGGAGTTTAGTATGGGTCAGTATGTAGGCTGCAGACTTTTGGATCAGCTGAATTTTGTGGACGGTGGAGCTGAGGAGACAGGTGAAGAGGGCATTTGAGAAGTCGAGTCGGGCGGGGACGAATGCAAGGACGAGTGTTTTGGCTGCGTCTGGGGTAAGGTAAGGGGTAGGGTAAGGAGGCGGGCAATGTAGCGGAGGTGAAGGAAGGCGCTCCTGGTCAGGGACCACATGTGTGGTTGGAAGGACAGCTGTAGGTCAAACCTAAAGCCTAGAGTTGTGCACCGGTTCGGTGAGTCTAAGGGATAAGCCGTGGAGGTTGAGATCACAGCCGCAGGACAGAAGACATTGACAGGAGCCAATGCCCTTACTTAAATAAGGAGCATTTATAGGGATATATAGGAATTTTGGAACAGACAGCCATTTGGCCCATCGAGGCCTCTCAACCAGCAATCATTCCATTACACTTTATATACCTGTTCTTAAAGTTTTTAGACATTTCCATTGAAACAGTTATTGAAGTACAGGCACATTCTTCACCAGGTGTCAGGTGTTAAATCGAGGTCTGTTCAAGTGAACATTAAAAATCTTATTATACTATTTGAAAAGAAAAAGGCGTTTCTCCCAGTTTCCTGACCAATATTCCTTCAGGTAAATCAATCATTCACTTCAGGACTGGTCGCGGGATCTTTATGTGTGCAAAATGGATGCCACATTTGCCTACAAATGCACAGTCATGATATTTGAATTAATTGTGAAGCATTTGGTGTATTTTGACTCTATAGCAAATGCAAGGATTATTAGTGTTGTTTCTGGCTTGCAGTAGTTTCACGCCATGACATGATGTGAATCCAGGATGAGACATTCACATCTTCGACCCCAAGATCATAGAGCACATATAAGAAAGAGCAAATAAAAAATACCTTGAGAAGATTGATCCCTTGATCACTGCTGGGGGCAACAAAATGTTCATCATCATCAAAGTGGATGTCCCCTAAGCGCCAGGCGTGGGCAAAGACCTGTCCTATTCCATCAAAGCTCTGGGAACAGCCCATGTGTTTCCCTAGAAAACAAACACTAATCAATTGGGTTTGAAACACAAGAATAAGAAACCACTTTTTTCTGTCACAAAGGTGCTGATTGACACCAAGCACCATTTGGAATCCAACTCAAATGGCTAAATGTGTGTGGAAGCTGGGAGTGTTGGTAGAACACAAAGAAAAATAAATAGTTAGTGTCTTGAGCCCTATTCCATGAAGACTGAATTGCTGGCGACGATTTTCTGTGGTCTGCACCAATTTATTATACAGTGGATTTCACAGCGATTTACACAGTTCATTGTCCGATTGTAAAGAGAATTGGTTGGGTGCTGTAATTGAGGGTATTAAATGGAAGATTTGGGACAGCATCTGCACAGGTAGATCAATTACCACAAGCCCTGAGAGCAGTGGTGCATGCAGTGAGAATGCCCTTCTCACATTTTTTCTGAATGAACTGTTTTGTGTGTGAGTTTCTCCACTGTTCTTCGTTAATTACACAATGGAGTTAAAAGGAAAAAAAGAGAGCCAGTGTTACCATCTTGTTGGTCAACCGTGATATGGGATCAGTCCGGCAGATTCCTTAATTTGCATAAAGAAAGTGGTCTAAAGGGGGACATGAGAGTTTGGGACTCTTTAGAACTATTGATGGTTAGTAGCCAGCTCAGCTCAGTTGGCAAAACCTGAGAACTGGTGACAGAACTGATAAAGGGAAGTGCTGGATGAGGCAAAAAAGGATTGAATTAGGTGCGCATCCTGCTCACCTAATTGCGGAAAGTAATAATTGCCGATTGGCAAGAGCCAACGCGTGGGGACCCCAGATGTGCGTTGGGTTAGCTGGAGTCTAACCAGCTAAACCCGCATAGCTTGCCATTGATATTGCTGTCTGGCAAGCTTTCCCACTGCTTTCCCACTACCTGTTAGGGTTTCGGCTTGCAGGGTTAACAGGAGCTGAGTGGATTGACTCCCTGCCCCCAGTGACTGGTTTGCCTTTCCAAGTCTTGCCAATGAACCATCTTGGTTCATGCCATGACTTGATGTCATCTGTGCATCTGTGTGTATCCAGCTCCTTGGGACGTCCTCCCGACGTGAAAGGCGCTGTACAAATGTAATCTTGTTGTTGTTGTTGTTGTTGTATGTCTAGGTGTGTCTATACATGTCTGAATGTGTGTGTGTCTGTGTATCTATGTGTATGTACCATTTTTACCTCTTCCGAAGCCCAGTTTGATGTCAATGTCACTGGATGGAGAGAATAAATCCTCCTCAAACTCCAGCGGGATCACCTCACTCCACATTCGGAATGCCAGCCGTAGGAGAGTCCTCTGCTGGCTGATGCTCATCTGTACACTGTAGGCCTCCCCCACCAGGCGCCATTTCAGTGACCTCTTGGCAAACCCAAGAGCAATGGCTGCTGCTCTGTCCTCACCTAGGAGTTCTCGCTTGCTTCTGGCATTCCACATCAACCTGTCGAGGAATCGCTTCCTCCTGACAGATTCTGGCTCAGTGCTGGAGCTGGGGCCTGTGGAGTTCATTGCTTCAGTATGGTTGGTGGAGCTGTTGGAGGATCCATTCCATGATGGTGCGTTAGCGAAAGAATCGTTCAGCAATGATGTTTTGTCAGGAAAACCACACCTAGGTTTGTTCATGATTTCTCTGGTGGCTTCATCCAGGACGCCAGTGACTGTCAGGTTATTTGCACTCTGGAACTTACTCAGAGCCTCAACATATAAAGGATCCTCTGTGAGATTATTGGGTCTCATTTCCTCAACCGTACCACTGGAAATCCCTTCCATCAGGGTCTGAGACAAATCACTGGGCTCCTGATCTTCCTCTTGTGGTGCTGAGATGTTCCCATATCCTTGAAAGTCCCAAGGAACTGGGTCACACCAGCCAAATCTTCTCAAGTATTCCTGCAGTTAATATACGAACCACAATGGAGCACAATTTATTTGCCCTATTGTGTATATATATTGTATATATTTATTACAATTATAAAATGATTGCTTTTTCAATTCCTTTAGTTACCAATTCCAAAACACTACTTCAGAAATAATTATTTTTGTTCTATCCTTGCACTGAAAATAAATAACCATCAATTATCTTTTGTAATATTTTTCCATCAGTCCAATTTTTTGGGGGGCAGTTGGAAATGTCAAATTTTAAAATTTAAACTTTTTTTCAATTTGTAGATTTTTAAAATATATAAAATAAATATATAAAAATGTGAAAACAGAATTTCAATTTGTAAAAATGTCCAATTTAATTTTTTTTTCCAGGATATCAGCCAACCCGTTAATAATTAATAAGAAAGGTTCAGATGAAGATGGCCTTTCACCACATTCTCATCATTCCAGCAAGACCATCACAGCATCAAGTCATTTCCTAAAATTAGTTCAGTGTCCTGGCCTCAGCCATGATTCTGATAATCTGTTCAGCTGTTGATTACCTTCTTTGTGAAGAAATATTTACTGGCCTCTCAAATCCAATCATTCCTTGGAGCTCAACCCTCTAACATTGGAGATCATCCTCGTTGCACTCTCCTGCACTGCCCATAGAGTCTGGTATGTTGCAGCGATCAGAGCTGATTGCAATACCTGGGCTCTCCCTCACACTCACCAAACCAGTGCGCAACCTAGGCGTCTTGTTCGATCCCCAGCTGTCCTTCCTCCCCCACATCAGGTCCCTGACCAGGACCGCCTTCTTCCATCTCTGCCACATTGCCCGCCTCCAAACGTGCCTTATCACAAATGTAGCCAAACCCTTGTACATGCGTTTGTTACCTCCCACTTGGATTACTCAAACGCACACCTCGCCAGTCTCTCCAGCTCCACCATTCACAAGAGTCAGACTCCGCCACTGTTAAGCACTCTGAGATGCTACACTGCACGGAGGTACCTCAGGGATAGCCTCACAAGAGCAGTGTAAAGCTCTCATCTTATAACCAACATCTCGTTTGCCTTGTTTACTGTTGCTTTACTCTGCATCACGCCCAAGTTCGGGAATGACTTGGGAGTGTTTCTTGGGACATTGGATGTCCAATATGAGAAAGTGTTCCATTCCCAGAACATACATCTTTCATATTGATGGACATAAAAAGTCACCAAAATACAGTTTACCAGAAAGTACAATTTATCTCAATATCCAAGTTAGGGAAGAGGTAAGATTTGCTTTGCATATCTGGTCTCTCTATTGTAAACACTTATTAGAAAGTGTATATGTTGACAGCTGAGTAAAAAGTTAGAGTCTTTTTGCCTGAGCAAAGAAATCTAATCGCCTCAGTGTGGAAATGAGACATTTCTGACGGGACATTATGGAGGTATATAAGATTTTAAATGCAATTGAGAAAGTAAACCCAGAAAAATATTTTCGAATAATCTGAGTCAGCAGAACAAGAGGACACATGTTTAGGGTAGGGAAAGGGAACTTTCAGGACATAAGCCAGGTAGTATTTTTTTTACTCAGGATAATTCAGAGTCCTGTAGCGTTTTGTTTAGAGCACTCGCCTCGCAAGCAAGAGGACCTGGGTTCAGTTCCCAGGCAGGGCGAAACGTTAAGCAAGTTTCCTTACTCCATGCTCCTCTGTTTACCGAGCAGTAAGTAGGAACCCCGTTAGTTGATTGGCGGATCACTTTGCTGGGGCTAATAATCCTTTAAAAATAGAAATAAAAAAAATTTGGTCATTCAATTCTCGACTGTTTATGAGACACTGGTGTGCACAATTGGCTGCCGTGTTTCGCTTACAAAATATACAGTCAACTCACTTTACAATATATTCTGTGAAGCGCTTTGAGACATCTCGAAGACGTGATGAGGCACTATATGAAATGCAAGGAATATTATTAATTAACAACTAGAACAGGTTTACTTGTTTGTAAAGGGAAATTACAAACAGGATGATGGATCTATTAAGAAAAAGCTTGATGCAGTGATGGCAAATGGTAGAGTGGGTATTCGGTCCTGTATGATGAAATCCAACAGGTCAAAGGGCTTCTCCAACTGAACTTTGTCTGTGATCTTGTGTCCAAACTTCCAGTGGGGAATGATCACTGGGACACAGTTACAGATGTCTCCTGTTACCCTGAGCACATTAGCCCAACCTGCCTTTAGGGCAGTGTGGGGCAACAATTAATATTCTTCTGAGGGGATGAGGGGAGGGTCATTTGATCAAAATACCCTGGGGTTGAGTAAAGGCACTTTCAACTTCACCGCTATCTGGAATATTTACAGAACAACATTTCAGGATTTCACTTTGAGTTACAACAGTGTTGGACCAGTCCTATATTCTCCACATCATCCATGAGAAAATCCTGTGTGTTTAAAGCCCGAAGCTTAACACAGAATCTTTTTTAATCCTGGCGGTGACACAAGACATGAAGTCTAGCAGGTCTGATCTGTCTTGACTACACTAGTAAAGTTTAAGGAGAGTGAAATGACCAGCTGATTGACTGACTGACTGACTGACTGACCTGAGAGATGGTCAATTTCAGACTTAGTTGCGCACATCAGGTCCCAAACACAGTGTCACACTAAACCAAACCAGAAATACAGTGCAGTACAGTACATGGAGCTACAGAGGAGCCCACAAGCCATTCTCAAATCAATGCATTCTCAAATGAAAGTTAAAAAGCTGCTCTCTCTCCTCTCCTTTATTAATTCAGCTAAACAAGTCGCACACACACACACACAATAACACGTCAATAACACTTCTCCAAAACTGAGCTCCGAGTGAATTCGTTCAATTTCAGATTAATATTAAACACATAATCGGATGGACTGACACTGAAATATAGTTGCTTTTTTTTAAAATATAGCAGATATTGTCATTTACCATCGCCTCTTGCTGTGTGAGGATGGAGTTCACGTGTTGACTTCCCTGTGGGATATCCGAACGATCTCTCTTGTGGAAATCCAACTCAGTCCAAACTGGGTTCAACATTACAGCAACCAGGAGAGTCAACACTGAGGTCCTCTCGCAAACCTGCTCCCCCATCTCTGCTCTGCTCAGCTCCACTGCGCTCTCTCTCTCTCTGGGCTCTGCGGATCAGTGTCTCCAAGCCTACTTTTTAATAAAAAAAATTGGCTGATGGCCCCACCTCTGGTGACTCTGTTACATTCAACACCCAGCTTATCCCCACCCCAGGAGGTGAGCTCACAGTCCAGGCTGATCCTTCACTGCAGCACTGAGGGAGTGCTACAGGTGCACAGGTGCCAATCATCAGATGAGAAGTTGAACTGAGTTTCCATCTGCCTGCCCTAGTGATCCAGGGGGACATTAAAGCTGGTTTATTTTGAAGAGGAGCAGGGGAGTCTTTCCCAGGGTTCTGCCCAATAGTCCTTCCTCAACCATATATACCCAAAGTTCAAACTGTTCATTCATCGCACCGCTGTGTGTGAAGCTTTGCTGGGGCAGATTGGCCGCCCTGTTTGCTGAAATGACAACACTCAACACACTTCAAAGTGGATCTCTCTGTGTGACATTCTATGAGATATTCGAACATGATACAGAAGTCCTGTAGCTTACTGGTTAGATCACTCGCCTCGCAAGCGAGAGACCTGGGTTTGATTCCCGGCAGGATGACACCTTGGGCAAGTTTCCTTACTCCACATGCCTGATAATAATCCCTCAAGAAAAAAACAATAATAAATTTGGTCACTTCAATCCACGACTGTTGTGGGACACTGCTGTGTGCAATTGACTGCTGCGTTTTGCTCACAAATATACAGTCAATTCACTTTACAGTATATTCTGTGAAGAGCTTAGAGACATCTAGAAGACATGATAAGGCGCTATATCTAATGCAAGGATTATTATTTATTATGATACAGAGTGAAATAATAATAATCCTTGCATTTGATATAGTGGCTTATCACTTCACTGCAGCACTGGGGGAGTCTTTGAGACGTCTCAAACTGCTTCACAGAATATACTGTAAAGTGAATTGACTGTATATTTTGTAGGCAAAATGCATTAGCCAATTGTGGGCAGCAGTGTCCCACAAACAGTTGTGGATTGAGTGACCAATTTTTTTAAAGGAATTATTACCTCCGGAAAAGTGATTCGCCAATCGACTAACAACCTAGTTCCTACTTACTGCTAAGTAAACAGAGGTGTATTGAGTAAGGAAACTTGCCCAATGTTATGCCCTGTCGGGAATGGAACCCAGATCTCTCACTTGCGAGGCGAGTGCTCTAACCAGCTACATGACTCCACTGCAAGCTGAGTATCTTACTTAAATTATTTGAGATAGTCATTGATAATGATGGAGAAGGCAATAAAGGAGATAAGGAGAGGGAATTAGGAGGGGGAGGCACATGTGGAGTATAAACACTGGCATGAGGTAACTGAATGGATGGTTTGTTTCTGTGCTGTAACATTCCATGTGTAATTCTATGTAACAGTATTTCAGTGAAATTTATAATCACACTTAAAATATTCTTTATTGAGAAACCAATCTAGGTGAGGCTATTTTTATATCAAAATCTGCTGATTATAAACCAGTTATTCTACCATACTGGATTAAAGATATTTGCTTTAATATTTTTTCCTCCTCCTTCTTCCTTCTGCCTTCCTCCACCTCCATCACATTGCCCGTCTCTGAACATACCTTACCCCAGACGTGACTGAAACACTTGTCCATGCATTTGGCACCTCCTGACTTGACTTCTCAAATGCCCTATTTGCTGGTCTCCCCAGCTCCACCATGCACAAGATCCAGCACTCCGCCGCCCTCATACTCATCCGCACTAAACTCTGTACCTCCATCACACCAGTTCCAGCCAGGCTCCACAGGCTCCCTATCGCCAAATAGAGCGATTTCAAAATCCTCACACTTATTTTCAAAATCCTTTCATGCCCTGCACCTCTCTACGTCTCCAACCTGCTTACCCCCAACCCACTACCCGATGCTTCCGTTTGACTGGCTCCGGCCTTCTGGATGTCCTTTGTGCCCTCTGTTCCACTATCGGTGGATGTGCTTTCAGCCACTATGCCCCAAAAATCTGGAACACTCTTCCTCTATGCCCCCTCCTTCCCCATCTTCAGGTCATGCCTGAAGATCTTCCTCTTCAACCGTGGCTATGGTCACCTCCCCCTCCCCCCAGCTCAGCAGTGTGCTCCGCCACGGTTAAGCGCTCTGGGACTCTCCCTGTGTGAGAGGCGCTGTATAAATGCAAGTGGTTGTTGTTATTGTTATTAAATTATTTCAATTAATCTGATTGATGTTAACAATTTGATTGCTTTCCAAATAGCTATATGGTTGATTTATCCAGAGATCCATCAAAAATGTTGTTCTTGTCACCAGTTTGTTTCTCTTTTCCAGTTGAACCACTCTGAATTTATTAAAAGTTCATTCACTGAAAAGTTCCAAACATAACATGAAGTCAAACCATACTTAGAAAGTGCAAGGATTCAGGTCAATTTCTGTGCAGTGTTCCTTTACCAAAAATCTTCAAATGCAGAACATATTTAGAAAATATTTCTGCTTTAATTAAATGCAGTTAGACCAGGGACAGCTGGTTGTTAAAATATATTTAGACTGAGGAAGTAGAACAGATATTTAGATTCATTTGTGCTGCTTAATTTAGACTTTAATATTGTTTTGATGCTTGGAGAGAGAGAGAGAGAGGAAGAGAAAGTACAAGATGGGGGATTTTTAGAAGGCAGTTCCAGAGGAAAGGTAAGAAGTAGCTGACAACTTGCCAGAAAATAATGGAGCAGAACAGGTGAGGGGCATGAAATAGGGTAGAGTTGGCAGGGCAGAGGAAGTGGCCGGTGAATAGAGTCACAGGAGATCACAGAGTCAGGGGGACAAGGCAGTGGAGGCAATTAAAGTGAGAATAAGGATATTAAAGTTGACCCATCAGGGGAGCTGGATAAGGATGAGGGTGATGGGCACAGAACGTGATGGCAGAGAGAACACAGAATGTAGAGTTCTGGATGATTTCTAACTTGTGGAGCCTGGAGGGCAGAATGTTAATCAAATCTGGAGGTGACAAGTGTATGGATGAGGGTTTTGGCTGTGATCGGGGTAAGATAATTGGCAGAGGTAGGCAGTCTTGTGGAGATGGAGGAAAATGGACCTGGTCAGAGCCTAGATTAACAACTAAAAGGAGAGTAGATGGTTGAACAAAATGCCAAGGTTCTGCATAGCTTCATGAATTGTAGTCCCTCCTTCCCTCTGCTCTACAAGTGGCAGCTGTTCTTTCGGGCACAATACCACTGGAGCTCTTTGCCTCAATCCCTCCGTTTTGCCCCCTTTTGCCCATCTTGAAATCACACTTGAAATCTTTCCTCCTTGACTGTGCATTTTGTCACCTCCCCTCCCTTTCTGGCTCGGCGTCAAACCATGTCACTGTTAAGCACTTCAAAATGCTATTCATGCGTAAATGCAAGTTGCTGTAGTTGTGGAATGAGCAACTGGTGAGGTTGATGCAATCAGCACCTGAGGTGAAGGGGCACTGCTGATAGGAACCGACATGAGAGCCTTGGGTTTTGCTATTCCAGTACAAAGTATCTTCATAGCCAATAATTTATATAGCGCCTTCCACGCCAAGTTGTTGTTGTTGTAAGGTTGTACAAACAAAACACAAAATACTGCAGATGCTGGAAATCTGAAAACAAAAACAGAAGTGGCTGAGAACACTCAGCAGGTCAGGCAGCATCTATGGAGAAAGGAAAGTGAGTCAACGTTTCGGGTCCACGACCAACAACAACAACTTGCATTTATACATTCTACTTCCAGGATGGAGTTCCCACAGGTCGATGGGAATTTTTATTAGGGAATCCCGTAAAGAGATACTTCAAATTAGACCCTGTATATTTTGAACAGGATATTCTGCTTCAGTTGTGTAGAGTGCAATTTACGTTAGTGAAGCAGCAGATACGCACCAATACCTAGAGACACTAGAGGGCAGCCAAAGATAATGAGTGTTGGAGGATGAGAAGGTTGCCATATTCTCTGTTACCTCAGTCTTTAATCAATGTTAAATTCAACTGAACACATCAATAATAAATGACTTTGGTGCAGGCTTCAAGGAAATGTCCCACATGGGGGACAATGGGCACTTTGTAGCAACTATTAATATATAGAATTACATAATCATAATAATAATAATCCTTGCATTTGATATAGCGCTTTATCACATCTTTGAGATGTCTCAAAGCACTTCACAGAATCACTGTAAAGTGAATTGACTGCTTATTTTGTGGGCAAATAATAGGATATGGAAACGCAACAGGAATTAATATCTCCTCACTGAAAATGTACATCTGTGAGTTTCTGCTGCCTGTCAGTCATTGTTTTCCAAGAGAGTTCAATCTGACCATGATATCATTCACCCTTAGACACAACTGTCAGTTGGGAAAGTTACTTTAAAGTTACTGTAAAGCACTCTGAGACGCCGGAGGGCATGATATAAATCCCAGTTGTTGTTGTTGTTGTTGTTGAAAGCACTCTGGGACGCTACCCTGCGTGAGGAGCTCTATATAAATGCAAGGTGTTGTTGTCAGTGTCTCTGAAAGTCCACTTGCAGTCCTTAGAGCCAATATCACAACTCCCAGGTACACCATTACAACCTCTGAAGGTTACAATTCCAATGCCCAGAGGGTCTGCAACATCAGAAGCGCCAATCGACTAACAACCGGGTTCCTACTTATTGATAGGTAAACAGAGGCATGTGGAGGTAAGGAAACTTGCCCAACGTTTCGCCCTGTCTGGGAATCGAACCCAGGTCTCTTCGTTTGCAAGGCGAGTGCTCTAACCACTGAGCTGCAGGACTCCACATAATGTAACATAAAGCCAACCAGTTTGAGACAACTGGCTTACGTTTATTGTGCACTGAGTTAGCACCTACAATGTTTGAAGGTTACAATTCTTGTCTTTAAAATGCAACTAACTGATAAAAGGATTAAACTATTTACAGTTTTCCAATTAATCACTCCTGAGATGAAACAAATAGTATTCATAGCAAACAGTGAATCAAGCAACATAGCTTTGAAAAGTCAAGGTTTAATCATAGCCAGCAGCATCCAGATATGAAAGTCTAATTTGCAGTGTTTTCAAATAAGAAATAGAGGAAGGCAATTTTTAAAATTCTAAAATATTGAGTTTGTTCGCAAACTTTTCAACAGTTTCAGCAATTGCACATTTTGTATTGAGAAATCTTTTCAGAAACTTTAAATTAGACTCTACGTACAGCATCTTCATGAATACAGGGCTGGTTGTGCGGTCTCCATTTGGTCAACACTCACAGTCAAGATACATTACATATTATCACTATGATAATATGGTGAAGTGGAATCCAGCCAAAAGAAAAAAGGAGTCAAACACTTTCATCAGAGGAGGATGAAAGGGGAGAAATTTGTCTTCACTGGAACCAATTCTGTGTGCACCGACCTTTACATTTTGTAGTGTGGCTTTTTTTTATTCGAGCAGTATGCCTTTCGATTTCAATGGGAAAATAAACTGAGCAACTGGGCCAACTTTATTAATATCACAGTTCAAATGTTAACTCTAAAATAAGATTGGGAAATATTAAAGATGTGCCTGGATGCAAATGGTGTAGCTGGAAGTATCTGCTGTGTTTGGGGGCCGGTGAAAAGCTATAGTCTGGAATTCCAATCTCTGGTTGGCTCGAGTCCATATAAAACAACCAGATACTGATTTATGGAGAAAGGTCACCTGCAATGATTCATCCCGAATAAACACTGATGCCAATGGCGGTCTGTAACATTTAAAATATTGCTCATCAATACCACCAGTTTTCTCTAACTTCATATTTTGAACAGCCCTCAAGGCTCGGCCGAAGAGGAGAGTCTGGAGATGTGCCTTGAAGAAGGCAAGGGAGGGTGCGAGGCAAGGGGACTGTGGGATGGAGTTTGAAA